CTTGTCTGAACAGTTGACTTTAGCTCCGTGCTCCAGCAGTAGCTTGACAATGTCTCCGTGTCCCCGTCCCGCCGCCCAGATGATAGGATACACGCTGTACTGCTCAGACAGGAGGAAGAATAGAGCATGAGGGGCTGGCGCTCTGCGGCGGGTCAGCAACATGTGGGGGTCTCACCTGTCCTGTGGTGTTGGGATTGGCTCCATGCTCCAGCAGCATCTGGGTCACCTCCACTCGACCTTTATAAGCCGCCCACATCAGCGCCGTCCAGCCGCCCTGAACCACACAACCTCATCTTAAACACACATCCACAGCACATCTGCTCCAACTACGTTTCCCATGAGGCATTGCTCCCACCATGTCTCTGTGCTCGATGTAGGCGCTGCTCTCCAGCAGCTCCTTCACCACCTCCAGGTGGCCCTCTTTGGCTGCAGAGATCAGAGCCGACCAGCAGTCCTGGAAACACAGGAAGCTATCGTCACCATGGAAACAGCACATAATCGACCCACTGTGTCCTAGCAACCACAGGATGGAATAAAAACACAGAGGGGCGTTTGGTTTGCTCACCACGTCGTCCAGGTTGACGTTGGCTCCCCTCCTGATGAGCTCCTGGACGATGTCCAGGCTGCCCTGCTCCGCAGCCAGCATCAGCGGCGTCTGGCCGTTCTGCAAACACACACACACACACACACACACACACACACACACACACACACACACACACACACACACACACACACGTAAACAAACCGTAACACAAGCTCGTTTTGTCAGCTTCAATTAGACTGAAGCTGACAAAACGATTCCTTCATGAAAACTATTCTGAACACAGAATAAAATAAAACATGTCAACAAAACCAAACATAGAAAAAAACACAAGGAAACAGAAACATGCATAATTTCTGCAAAGATAAATTTCTTTTTTGTTGGACAGATATGTTAAATAAATAAATCAGTACTTCAATAAGTATTTTGATTAGTATATTTATGTTGATTAATGCATTAGTCAATACATAAGAAACTAATAATTTAAAAAATAAAACAATTGTTTAAAAATATTTATATTAATACTTGATTATTAATGTTATTAATTTAACATAACTTAAAATAAATAATGATAAATAACTTTTTAAAAATATAATATCATAAGTTAACCTGAAAATATAATTTGAAAAATCTTATAAACTATATAAATTCAAATATCCAGGAGAAAAAAATACATTATTTATAAATCCATAAAATTATGAATTTACAAGATACATAATTTCGTAAATTATGAAGACAAAAAAAGAAGTGGCAAACAGTGATGTGTTGCATTGTGATGCGGTGTTGTGTTGTACGGTGTCATGCGGTGTGATGCAGTGTGATGCGGTGTGATGCAGTGTGATGCAGTGTGATGCAGTGTGATGCAGTGTAATGCAGTGCGATGCGGTGTAATGCGGTGTAATGCGGTGTGATGCAGTGTAATGCGGTGCGATGCAGTGTAATGCGGTGCGATGCGGTGTCATGCGGTGTGATGCAGTGTGATGCAGTGTGATGCAGTGTGATGCAGTGTAATGCGGTGCGATGCGGTGTAATGCGGTGTGATGCAGTGTGATGCAGTGTAATGCGGTGCGATGCGGTGTCATGCGGTGTGATGCAGTGTGATGCAGTGTGATGCAGTGTAATGCAGTGTAATGCGGTGCGATGCGGTGTAATGCGGTGTGATGCAGTGTGATGCAGTGTGATGCAGTGTAATGCGGTGCGATGCGGTGCGATGCGGTGTAATGCGGTGTAATGCGGTGTGATGCAGTGTAATGCGGTGCGATGCAGTGTAATGCGGTGCGATGCGGTGTAATGCGGTGTGATGCAGTGTGATGCAGTGTGATGCAGTGTGATGCAGTGTAATGCAGTGTAATGCGGTGCGATGCGGTGTAATGCGGTGTAATGCAGTGTAATGCGGTATGATGCGGTGCTGTGCGGTGCGATGCGGTGTTGTACGGTGTCATGCGGTGTGATGCAGTGTGATGCAGTGTGATGCGGTGCTGTGCGATGCAGTGCAGTGTAATGCAGTGTAATGCGGTGCGATGCGGTGCTGTGCGGTGCGATGCGGTGTTGTACGGTGTCATGCGGTGTGATGCAGTGTGATGCAGTGTCATGCGGTGTGATGCGGTGTTGTACGTACATCACTGCGGCCGTCCACCTCCTTGAAGCGGTCCAGGTGAGCCTTCAGGGCAGCCAGGTTCTCCTCTTCTACGTAGCTGAACAGGTTCTGGATGGCCAGAGTGGTCATCTTGATGGACGTGGTGGTGTCCATGTCTGCGGTTTCTCACAGCGCCCCCTACTGGAAGACAGAGGGGTTTCAAACACCTCCAGAGGTTCACAGGTCTTTAAAATAAAAATAAAAGATGAGCGACTCCAGTGCTTCCTGCTGCGTCAGGAACGGTTTGAACCTGCTGAGCTAAAGCTGCTGCAGCTGATATGAAGGCCTGAGCTGACCCCAGATCAGCCTGCTGCCTCCGCGCCCCGCCGATAAACACTTCAGTGGGGGCTGGATCTCATTTTCCATTACAGCCAGACGGTAAAATGGGGAGCTGTCGCCTTGACAACAGCCTACACGTCTCCCATACAAAGAGGGAGCCCAGTGAGTGAATGTTAATGCAAATGATCTAACAGGGCGTTAGCTACCAGCTGAATCTGGGAGTTCAAACCTGAGAACTGGGTGTGGACCCTTAATGTTCACCCTGACGCAGTAAAAATCCCTAAACGCAGCAATCTGGGGACGATTTCTCCATCCTAAGGCCACAGAAACAGCTTGCTCTCATTTTTAATGTGTAATCAGAGTCGGAGCCTTTAATAACAGCAGCATAACGAGCAGAACGCAGAATAAAATCCTGGTTTTCTTCTCTAACAGGGTTTTAACAAACCAAGCAATTAGACTGAAGCTGACAAAACGATTCCTTCATGAAAACCATTCTGATATTCAGGATTTCTGTTCCTCTTACCTTTAAATCCAGTCAATAAACAACCCAGAAAAATCTTATTCACTCCATATTAACAGCATTTCTCACTTTTTCTGTATAAATTCCAACGTTTTATTATTTCTTCCATAATTATTATAGGTATTTATGTCAACAATGAAGCTAAAAGTGCACATCTAAATTTAAGTGTTTTTAAACATTATACGTTTAAAATGAATTAAATCCTATTTTTTATTCTCTCATTAATTTTTTTCTATTATTTATAATCACATAACTTAATCTAATATGTGTTGTTACTGCTTTTGTATGGAAACACTGAATAAATACATGCTGTCCTAATTTTACACTACTGGTTTGATCGAATTAAGATAATAATAAAAATCATGGGTGGGTTTTAATTAGACAATAATCTACTTCATGGCGATAACCACACCGCGGTGTGATATCAGGCCACGCCCCCGCGGTGTATCGCGGTTATATGGCTGCTGTAACCTGAACAACCTTCCTCTGTCGGACACAGTTTTTTGATTTGACAGTTTTTTTTTTATTTACGGCCGCGGCGCCGAACCGTGCAGGAAATCACCTCAAAACAAACTAATCACGAAACAATTCACAGCTAAAAGCTCAGTCACAGCGGAAATACCAGAACATTCCGACAGATTCCTCCGCGACAAGTGCGGATCAATCATTAATAGATGGCAGGAAAAGGATGCTGACGGTGAGAGCAGCGGAGGGAGCAGATTCACCTTCAGGAAAGAACAGCTTTCAGCCCGAGGAGCCCGGTTCTGGTTCGGGGTTCGGGTTCTAGGTGCGTTTCTTCGGCCTGTTTTCGGATGACAGCCTGAGGTTATTCTCCATCCCCGACAACAGCAGCCATCTTGATTAGAATAACAACCGAACAACAGCACGAGCCAATCACAACCCTCCAATGCGTCATGCGCCGAAAACCAGGACTGTATTTCCGCTTTATCCTGTCACAATAAAAGCCCAGTAAACGTTGTTTCCTGCATATAGGTTACTAATATCCGCCAACTTGATAATCCTGATTTAATTGTTGCTCAAAATGTCCACTTTCAATGTTACTATTGTACTAAAAACATGTTTTTGAAAAGCCTGTCAGGTTTATATTCAACTTCTGCATAAAAATTAAGATGTACATGTTAATAAATATTTTAAATAACATGGTGTCAGAGTTTCCTTTTCTTCTTTATATAATTATTTCTGTTATCTTTGTTGTTTAAAACAGTTATAATTCTGTTTATAACATAAGGCCATAGTGGATAAAAATATCATCATAAATGTTCCAGAGCAGGCTTTATTAGATGTGCTCTGAACTCATAACAGCACCGCTGAATTCTGAAACCTATTTATTTACGTCTCCAGCTGACGGAGACTTCCCCCAAAATACTTTTAGCGTAACAGCAGTGAAAGATGATTCAAATGATCCAAAACCCAATTTTTAAACTACTTTTAAAACCAAAGTTATTCACTACTTTGCATTGGTCCAGCACATAAAATCCATAAAGAATACATTGAAGTTTGTGGTTGTAATGTTGATCAACATCAAGTTGTGTCAATGTATTTTCATGTCACTGCATAAACATTGAAACTTTTGGTTTCAATGTTTTCTTCTTTGAATCTGTTATGAATGCAGATTATTATCTGTGCAGTAAATCGACTTATCTTTATTAATTCAGAGCATTAGCAAGAACTCTGCTCAGTATCAGTTTACTCAGGGTTAAAGTGCAGCAGTGTTATCTCATCAAAGTACAAGTACAGTGTCGGTATTAGGTCATGGATATACAGATAATCTTGACAGTGCCTCTCCAAGCCATTTAATTAATAATATTCTCACATATTTACCTTCTTCTGTCCAATGGTTTATTTGAAAATTAATCTGAGTTTCCAGTTCTATTTACAAAGTGATAATATGTTTATGCTTTAGTTTAGAAGATATTTAGGGGGTACATATTTATATGATTGCATATGGTCCCTCATTAATGTGCTGTACAACAATGGAAATAACTGGAACTTTGGACACATTAAGAGTAAAAAAAATCCAACATTTATTCACATAATTTACAAAATAAACCAAATAAAATAAACAGTCAAAACAAACATGTCAAAACTACAAAGATAGGTGGCTGGTTTTTAATCACTGTTTTACATAAACATGTTCATTAGCAGTCACATCTTTTCAACCAGGTGTCATGGCAGAAACCTAAAACTAGGAATACAATCGTAGAACAAATACAAAACAGAAAGATTCAGGAAAAGATTCAGATTTTTCTCTTTTAGAAGAAAAGAGGCAAAGAAAACACTGATTTTTACTGATCGGCAGAAATGCTGACTGTTAATACTCAGAGTAGTTTGGACGGAAAATGAGATTAAATTGTTTATGTAAATTAAAACCAGAAGTTTGACGGAAGAGAACATTTACAGCAACTTTATATAAATGTCTTGTTTGATTCTTGCTGTGCTCCAGTCTTCTTGAAAGCTTGAAGTTAGAAAACCAGCAAATGTTTGTCCTCAAAATCCAAATTAACAACTTTAACCAGCTCAACTCAGTTTATTACTGTTTATTTATTTATTTTTATTTTTATCAAATTTTAAGGTGAGGGTTTGCAGGACAAATATTAGCTGGTTTTTATTTGAACACAGTTTTAGCTAGCTCCCTAAAATTGCTAACAATTAGCAAGCTTGAAGCTCCAAAGTAAAAACAAAGTAGCTATTCCAGCACAAATTTTCAGCTACACTCAGTGTTAAAATAAATTAAACAACAAAAATATTGGTGACTAAATTTACACATGGATCAGTTTGGTAAATAGCTCAAAATATGAGCAATTATAGCTAAATTAAACCACCAGCTGACATTAAAGCAAACAGTTCAATACTGATTTATTTTATTTGAATAAAACAATGAAGGTTAGGTAAACTTTCCTTAAGCTGTATTTTTTATCTCCCAGAGAAAACATTGTCAATGTCAAATTTATTTATATAGCACTTTAAAACAGGTACAAAACTGTTTTAAACATTGATGGAACGGAGAGAAACCAATAAAAATCATGGCTAAAGCGTAACTTTAACGGAGAGTCACAGCCAACACTCACCTGAACTTAAACAAATGTAGAAACTGGGCCTTCAGGAAGTGAAATATAGCCTTGATGGAGAAACTAATTTATTTAAATCTACAAGCTTTTTATCGCTACTTCCAGAGTGAGACTATTGTAAATCAACTGCTATAATTCATGGTCAAATACTATTTCATTTATCATATTTTCTGTTTTGCAGGTGGAAATGTATGCAGTTAGCAAAACCCACCAAGCTGTAGCATCTTTCTACTTGGTTTTAAAAGCCCTGTCAAATATTATATATTTTCTGTAATTCAGATTTAAAACTGATTTACTGCAGAAAAATATTTTCTGTTTTATCTTTAAAGGTCATATTCTATGACGTGATGGAGCCAGACAACCTAGAATCTCACCACGGTGTCAAATCCTCATACAAAAATCTGATTGTATTGTTGTCAATAAAGACTTTTCTAATGTTATTCTAATTCAGTCAGGTTCTGATGAAAACAAAAAACAAAACAAAATCAAAATTTCTAAAGTTTTCTTCAGCATTTTCGACCAATAAACACAGAAGGGTAACCGTCATGTTGGCTTCCAGGCCCTTACCAGACCGAGCGTCCTCCATATTGTGAGTGGCATGGTCTCCATGATCATTATTAGATGCATGTGTGCAAACCGAATGTCCTGAAATTTCATTCAGCAAAATTACAAATTGAATTGTTTTACTCACAATAAAACACTAATTTAGTATTACTGGCAAAAATATCTGCAAATAAGAATAAGCTTAACCAATACAAACTCAAATGCACTTAGATTTACATTAATTTACCTCTTAAAACATAACGAACCTCTTAATTATTAAGTTTTTGTCATAATAACCAAACTCTATCTATTTTGTTTTTTCAGAAATATATATGCTGTTATAAAAGGGTCACTGTAAAATCTCTCAAGTGTTTCAAAATGCCACTCACAACATGTCTTGTACAGAGCCGTAGTGTCTACTCTTTTATGTCTATTGTTTTATCCACAATAATTAGCAGCGAGACCAAGCAGCTTTTTCTCCCCAGTGTCTGAGCTAAATGACGTAATGAGGCGGAGTCTGAAAGATGAGACAAACTGTAAAAGGAATAAAATATTATCATCCTGAGCTACAAGCCCAAACCCAACTGGAAAGGAAAATATGTTAAAAATCATCAAACTTTAAAGGAAAACCTTTATCTGCTGATTTCTGAAGGTTTTGTAAAGCTGTTTATCTTTTGCTTATTAAACCACATCATTTTTTGGAATGAAACACATCAGTAAGAACTTTAAACCAAAGTTACACATGTAAACACGTCAAGACTTTTCTTCTTCTTCTTTTTTTTAGAACAAATAAGGTGACTGAGTGAACAAACATTGGCACTTTTTCCAAAACTAACTTCTGTAAAATATTTAAAAGTTTTCCTTTAATCAGTCTGAATTTTATTCACACAAGCCCTGTGTCATCAAATTGTATATTCCCACTTTCCGCCTTTTTCTTTTCATATAATCATATTATGAAAAGAAACTTGTCAAGTTTCTGACAAGTAAGAAAAGGGAGTTGGTTTAGAATCATGGTAGTTCAGGCAGTTTGCACTGATCACACGCAGCTCTCCATGTAAACTCACATTAGGTATTTATATTCTTAAACATGGCAGGTTTTTGAGTCTGTTCATTGTCATTTCTGGCAGTCAAGATTCCTTTAAGAATGAAAAAGAAACCCAGCGCCTGCTTTGACTTTTATCCCCCACTGAATGCAAATTAATCAGGTTTGGCCTTTTTTCTGTACCTAGTCCAGCAGGAGCATCACTCGGTCCGTCCGGCTTCACATCCTCCCACACAAGTCCATGGAAATTTACAAGATGCTTCTGGCTCCGGCCTCAGGAGGCTTTCTCTTTGTGACTGTGGGTCTCTGCAGCCTCCAGGGGCTTCAGGCCTGCATCCTGGGAGCAGCTTTTCTGCTGCTCTTTGAGGCGCAAATGTCTGGGTTTGACCGGCAGCGCTACAGCCAAGAGGATGCACATGATGTGGAGGCTGAAGTACCACGATCTGCAGGAAGGAAGAAATTAGGAATATTAACCTCAATTCCATGCAAACCTGATTGTTATAGTACAAAGTTGAATGTTGTAAGCGATGGCTGACCTGTAAAACTTTAGGGACGGGCCCACAGACAGCAGGACAAAAGGCACCACCGTGTAGCAGATGGCGATCTGAGTGGCTGCCCACGTGATGACATCATAGAGCAGTTTGTGGGCCGCGGAATGAAGAAAGTGGGGCCGAACTTTGTGTCTCACCTGAGAGGACAGAAGATGGACAGGTGAGGACGGACCATTACTCAGACGCAGGACTGATAGAGTATTAATAACAAAGTACAATGATGTAATAATATTAGCCAACATTCCTCTATAACCCATCCATCCATCCATCCATCCATCCATCCATCCTTCCATCATCCATCCATCCATCCATCCATCCATCCATCCTTCCATCCATCCATCCATCCATCCATCCATCCATCCATCCATCCATCCATCCATCCATCCATCCATCCATCCATCCTTCCATCCATTCATCCATCCATCCATCCATCCATCCATCCATCCATCCATCTCACCGCTCTGGCCGCCAGCGTGACGACGATGCCGGTCAGGAAGGTGAGGTAGTATCCTGGATAGGCGCCGTGCCACATGGCGGACAGGATGAACGTGGCTGCTGTTGGGTGGTAGGGACATCGCTCGTAACAAACCCTGTTTCCCAACAGATAAAGATCACGGTATGGTTACAGAAAAATGTCCTTTTACTGGCATAAACTGCCATGGATCTCCAGACAGACCTTTTGAGCCATTGCACCGTCTGAATGTTCCAGTTGTCAAGAAAAACTTTGAAACTGGTGGCAAGCTGGAAAACACAAAGTCTAATTAGTCCGACTGCAATGTTATAAAACATAGTAAGGACATGTTCTCTCCTAACTATCCTGACCTCAATGTTGAGTATCCTCAGGTTGGAGATCAGGTCCCAGCGGGGTGCGCCATTGCTGTCATAGCCGTTAAAACCAAAGCCAGCAGCATTGTTGATGGCATCAGCTGTTTGGTGAGACAGTCTCAGGTGAAATATGAGCAAACAGTCCAATAGAATAAAGAAGTTTGGGAAAGATGAACACAGTCACCCACCGAGTGTCCAGACAAAGTAATACTTGGGTCGTGTGGTTTAGCATGGAGAGGTACAGGTAGACCACCTGGGCATAGAATGGTGTGTTGGCAATGAAGTCGTCCTCGATGTTTCGCTCCACTGGAAATACTTTACACACTGACAGGAAGACCAGCAGGCAGAAGAAGGAGGTGGCCACTTTACGAACCACCTCCATCTGAGGAGAGACACATTTGTTCTGGTTATGTTTCTGCTTGTAGACAGAAATTGGTAGATTGTGTCTGGTGGGTGATTGCTACAGAGTCAAACCAGTTAGATCACCTACGTTTGGCGATGGCTCGCCTTGACCCAGTCTGGTCTTGGACTTGTCGGCCTCTTGTTCACGGTGGCGATGCGGTTTCCCCTCGATGAAGGCAATGTAGTCGTTGTAAGAGCAGGTTGGACCGGCCAGAATCCCCATGAAGTTACAATTGTAGCTGAAATACTCGAGAAGGCTCGGCATTCGCCTAAAGAAACACAAACACACAGGTGCTCAAACATCCAGAGGGAAACTGCTTTAAACCAAATGTTAAATATTACAAACAGTGGAAAAAACCTTATGGCTAAGATCTTCTGTCCGGCGGTCAGGTGTTCTTCCTTCCGAGCCATTCCTACCAAAACAAGAGAGACCTTTAACACCTGAGTCCCAAACGTCCCAGTGTTGTATAACTACTGCAGAAGCAGCTCACCATCATGGATCTCAAAGGCCAAGCTTGTGATCTTCTGAGTTATGACCATCATGGGACTGGAAAAGGAAGCAAGACATTAGATCAAACATCACTGATCATAACTCAAGGCTTTTTAACCAACATGACGAACAGGAGGAGTTTTACCCTGTGAAGTCAGCAGAGTACATGCCGTAGTCAAAGACGTAGACTCGAGTGATCTGGCACAGACTCAGGTAGCTGAGAGCCACTACGAGGCAATACCTGCAGCCAAAAGAGTCAGACCAACAACAACTCACTGATCAGGTCAGTTCGTCTGCCTGTTAGAGAGACTTCAGACAGACTTCTCCAAACTGCTTCTTGAGAGGTATGACCACAGCTTCAGGTCTTAAACTAAACATGTAGTAACAATGTTGGGCGCAAAGACTTTAAAGGATGCACTGGGTTTCTTCTTTTATAGTATCTCCAGAACATCTCCAGCCTGGATCAATGGAGTCATGACCAAAAGAATGAGATTCTGAATGCAAACACCTGAAAATAGTTCCTAGGTAGAGTGACGAGGACTGTAAGGACACGGTAGAGTTAGAGTAAAAGGGTTAGGAGTTAGGGTTAGATACTCTGGCATATTCTGTGAGCCATGTGGACTCTGTATGAACAGATGAGATTTCACAGTAAAGCATAAATATTGCCTACATTTCTTGAGACAAATTCCTGCATTTCTCACAATCCAAAGTTTGGTGGGCTAATTGGGGACCTAATCCTATTTCTGATTGACCAGGGCAGTCACCGCACAGCTGTCAGTGCAGCACAGAGAGTTGGTTACTCTCTGCTTCCTTTTGCCTGGTTGCTCCCACTCGGTATCACACTGTCTCCTACTGAGGGTCTGCTATGAGACACCAAGTGTCTGACACTCACTCATCGTTGTGTCCACTTGAGCACCTCTGGATGTCCGCAGAGTACCCAAGTACTCACTGTACTCCTCCAAATTGGACTGAACTGAGGTGGGTCATCATCCAGATCAGGATACCCTCCGGATGGCTTGATCTGGGGGTTCTCTGGACATATTCCACAGGAAACCCTCCACAAACCCAGAACACACTGGAGGGAACCTACACGACCTCTTTAGCTTGAAAACATCTTAAGATCTTTGAGGAGGAGGTGGATGAGAAGTCCTGCACTTGTATGGGACTTTATCAAGCCCAGAGGATTTCATTCACCCATTCCTACACACGTTTACACTCTGATGGTGGCAGGATACCCAGTTTGGGTACATCTGATCCCTCAGACCACCAAGGCGGGTGAAGTGTCTTGACATGGGACACCACAACAGAGACAGATGGAGCGCGGGATCATACCGGCATCCCACCAACTGCACATCGAAGTCCTAACAGCCGACATCGTTGTTCCAATGTTGGGGTTTCATTCCTGAACTGTTGACGATTGAAAGAAGGATACTGATTCCACCCATCCAGTTGCGATTGTTTTCTGAAACAAGTCCCCATGAAGGAATCCTTATTTTGTCTTCTGGACTAGATAAAAGAGCTTTATAAGTACAGACCACTCACCATGTGGCTCAGAGAGGCATAATCTGGACCGTTTCCCATCTGATAAGGGGAAGTGGTGACTCCACTCTCCCTGTGTTTTAGTCCTGCCTCCTGTGTTGGAGCTTTAGCCACTTAAATTCATCATCTTATTTACTTTGTAGACTTCCTGATGTAAAACTGATACTTTTCAATACTGAGTTTTAATCTTCAGTATGTGTGAGTTCTGAATTAGTTTTATGGTAGATTAGTAACATAATCTACTCATTAGCAGTCTGTCTGGAAAAAGCAGTCCACTATTTCATGTACACCAGGAGCAGGAAGTTGTTTTCCACATGAGCTCTAAGGAATAAAACGGATGATTCGAGTTTAATGGATCAAACAGATTAATTTCACAGCTGCTGCTTCCTCTGACAGTTTTAATGTCTCTATAATGATGCTGTTATTTAAAGAGTCCATGATGCTCACTTGTGCATGTGCTCGACTCCGGTCAGGATCATGATGCCGTAGGTGAGTCCGCTCTGAAGCAGGAAGTGAAGCGCATACCTGCAGAAACAAGAAGCAGAGAGTCAAAGAAAAGCTGATGAACTTTCCGTAAAGATGTGAACAATAACAACAGACAAACATTTCGCAATCATTGTGCTTTGAGTATAAGTCCTATTTCAACCTGTCATTGATCACAGTGTGTCAACTTCTGTTTTGCTAGCATCATGCTATGGGCTAACTGAAATAAGGTTGGAAATTTTCCTCAGTGTTATGTTCTGTTCTTCACTTTGAGATCATTTTAGCCTTGAGACTCTGTGCTTTATCATGCAGGAAAACCAGAAAATCACCATCAAACTGATTCTGGAGGACATTTTGATGTCCATGGAAGAGTTCTCAGGATTAGAAAACTAAGTATTTAGTTGGCAAGCTAAACATTTAATTAGCTTTGAGCCAGCTAGCTTTGTCAAATATGTAGTCGACAAACTATTTAGTTTAGTCCTAAAATTCACTTGCATATTAGGCTGTAGGTCAATTGGACTTTTAAAACAGATCATCTTTGTTCTAAGCTGAAATGTTTGGAAAAAGAGGAAAAGAAACAATAAAGAGGTGACTTTCAAAGTTTATGTTTGACAGCCCACTTCCAGTTATTGGCAAGTAAATCCGCATATTATATAATTAATTAGGTCAAATTAATATACTAAATATTTAGCATAAAGCTAAACATTTATCTAGCTAACTATTTTATTTGCATAAATTGGTCAAATAACCAAATTATTGCTGTTAATGTTTAGAAACGGCATCCAACACTGGCCTCATGCAGCTTGCAACGTTTCTTCTCCAAATGTCCCAAATAATCAATCTATCAGGAAAAACCTATTTATTCTGCCATCATTTCAGCCACTTTTCACCAGATTTGCTCTTTTCACTGCAACATATTGATCAGTTTGGCAAAAACAAGCCAAAACTGGGAACCAGGAAGGTTTTCCAGCCGTCGCCTCACCAGCCGAAGCAGAACAGGGCGAAGTAGAGCCCCAGCACAGTGGCCACCACATGTCTAATGAAAGGACTGGTTTTACTGGGATGGAGGAAGAGACGAAACCAGAAGGCTGAGATCAGAGCGCAGAGCTGACACACCACGAAGTTGACCTGCAGGAGCAGAGGGAAAAGTGGCGTCAGAGTCAGGAAGGAGGAGGAGCTCACACATCATCTCAGTTTCCTAGATTACATTAAAGTCTTGGAAAACCTTTTAAATGCCGCAGAGTCAAATTTATCTCCTGTTTCTCCAAACCAACAGGGAGAAAACCGACCTGTGATACATTCACAACGCCTCACTCCTTCATGTTATAGAGCCAGCAGAGCTGAGGTTGTTTTTTCTGCTGTTCTGAGTGAAGCTCTGGTCCTTCCTGTCCGTCCCAGCAGGATGTCAGACCAGGTTTGTTCAGCTGCTCAGACGGTTCCCATCAGCAGCAGCGTGATGAAGCCGGGTCAGGACAAGACGGCCCACATGGTGCCAAACCTTTCAGCCCGCCCAACAGTGACAGATTTATCTCAACCATAAGAGGAGTACGAACTGACCTACCGTCAGAATCCGGAAGAAACTTTATTCAGATCACCAGGTTTTACAAGCCAGAAACCAGAAAAAAAAATACAAACAATAAAACAACAAACAGGTGGAATAAATGAGCCTTCTGCTGGAGTGGCCTAGTCAAAGTTTGGATTTTAATGTGATGGAGATGCTATTAACTTTGTGTTTATACTAGCTCTCTAATGGGTCTAAATTAAGCAGAGTGGCTCAGTATTGTGATGCTAACGGCTAATTAGCAAATCTGATGAACACTTGATGGTAAAACAGACCAGATCCATCCATCCATCCATCATCCAACCATCCATCCATCCATCCATCATCCATCCATCCATCCATCCATCCATCATCCAACCATCCATCCATCCATCCATCCATCCATCCATCCATCCATCCATCCATCCATCATCCAACCATCCATCCATCCATCCATCCATCATCCATCCATCCATCCATCCATCCATCCATCCATCCATCCATCCATCCATCATCCAACCATCCATCCATCCATCCATCCATCCATCCATCCATCCATCCATCCATCCACATCGTCCATCATCCATCCATCATCCATCCATCATCCATCCATCCATCATCCATCCATCCATCCATCCATCCATCCATCCATCCATCCATCCATCGTCCATCATCCATCCATCATCCATCCATCCATCCATCCATCCATCCATCCATCCATCATCCATCCATCCATCCATCCATCCATCCATCCATCCATCGTCCATCATCCATCCATCCATCCATCCATCCATCCATCCATCCATCCATCATCCAACCATCCATCCATCCATCCATCCATCATCCATCCATCCATCCATCCATCCATCCATCCATCCATCCATCCATCCATCCATCCATCCATCCATCCATCATCCAACCATCCATCCATCCATCCATCCATCCATCCATCCATCCATCCATCCATCCATCGTCCATCATCCATCCATCATCCATCCATCATCCATCCATCCATCCATCCATCCATCCATCCATCCATCCATCCATCCATCCATCCATCCATCCATCCATCGTCCATCATCCATCCATCATCCATCCATCCATCCATCCATCCATCCATCATCATCCATCCATCCATCCATCCATCATCCATCCATCCATCCATCCATCCATCCATCCATCCATCCATCCATCCATCCATCCATCCATCCATCATCCATCCATCCATCCATCCATCCATCCATCCATCCATCCATCCATCGTCCATCATCCATCCATCCATCCATCCATCCATCCATCATCCATCCATCCATCCATCATCCATCCATCCATCCATCCATCCATCCATCCATCCATCCATCCATCCATCCATTCCAGATTTATCGTCTCAGCCTCTTCTTCACCACTAGCTGATCTAGAGACAGCCCCATCCTGTCTCCAATCAGGTCTATGAGAATCACCATCTGTTGGAAGGTGGACGTACAAAACCAGCCTGATTGGTTTTAATACTCTGACTTTTCTAATCCATGCAACCATCATAAATCACCACCAAATCAGACTAAATGCACCAAATCTCTCAGCCAACTGCAGGTTTGTGGTTCTGCTGATGACGAGCAGCATCTTCATCCCATGTAATCTTGTATTCCAGAGAGTGATCTCACTGAGCATCTGATCTGTCTGTAATATGATACCAAGTGTCATAAATAATAGAAAGTGTGTAAACTGAGCGATTACTCATCCGACACTAAACTCCGGCTGGACTGAGACATTTGGTCTGGGGAAACGAAGATTGTTTTTCTTTCTTTAGGAAGTTTAAACTGGGAGAAAAGATCCAGAAGTAGAAATATAATCACAAAGTATTTCTGTTGATGCTCTGAGGCACCATGCCAGGGCAGAACGATATCAGTCTGTCGTAATGAGCAATAAATCAATAAATCAGTGAATGACATGATAAATTAAAATGAGCTCAATAATTTCCATTTGCAAGGACTGGAGGATAAAAGCCTTCAGTGCTTCTAAAAGGACAGTTATGTTTACAGAATCTTCATAATTCATATTATCTGTTGTTTCTGTTTCATTTATTTATTTTGGATTTTTAAATGTCTTCCATCTCCAGAGTTATATGTTCATTAGAATATAAGGTTTATTGGCCTTTGAGAAGTTCTTGCATTATTGTGCCATTATTACCATTAGATTACTGGGAAATGGCCACACTTTGTGGTTCTACTGTGATCATGAAAACAGTGACGATAGGAATTATTAAATACTTAATTTTTATGTGTGACTGTGAGTTACAGCAATGATAACAACTGAAAAACATCCCCATTTTTAATGTGCCTCTAAAATAATCATGTATCACTGGGCTGCGCAATGTAACTTTATTCCCATATTTTTCATATGTGTTGATGTTTTTACTTAAATAGTGAATAAAATAGGAAAACTAAGAATCTCAATCCATAAGTAAGGAAAGTTTTAAACTTCATTAACTGGAATTTATCCTGACGTCGATAAATCAAAATTTAAAATAAATTCCCATTTCTAGTCGTAAAGCAGAGCATCAAACCTGTGGAGGTCAGTAAGAGCCGAGAGACTGAAACCAAGAAACAACCTTGCAAATCAAACTTCAGCTCATCTGATCAACCTGTAAACATTTTCATGAAACGTTTTTCCATTTTTCAGGCTTTTTCTTCCCTGAATCATATTTCTAACAGATGAGACGGACAGATCTCGGTTCAGATCTGGACCTTCAGTTCTCGGTATCACCACCCAGAGACCTTCTGACCTCCTGCAGCAGCGCCAACCACCTGATCTACCTGCATCCAGACAGCTGGCTCTCAGCCAATCAGAGCGCAGCATCGTCTACCTGTTACACGCTGCGGTATCACCTGTTGGTCTGGAGGCTCAAAGCTCTTCAGGAAGATTTTATCTTCTGTCAGCTGCAGGAATTAAAGTGCTGATGGTCGATGCTGCATTTCACAGCTTTAACAGAATATTAACCTTTGACCTTTAGCTTAGCACGGTCAAGCTCAACATTGCCACATATTTAATCTTCGAATTCATAAATGACTTTTTCTTGACATTTTATCACCATAACAACAGAAGCATTTTGCTCTCATATTGTTTGAAATGAAACTAATTTATAATTTGAGACAAAAAGTACCGATAATAATTAAAAAACTTGAAGGTTGAGTCTTTGGCTTCGTTTTTCAGGAAGTTTGACCTCTGGTGCTCTGATGAGTTTATTTCATTTAGATAAATTGTGAGAGTTTTTAAATATGGATACTTGCTTGTGATCAGCCAGTGGAATCTGAATTTCTTCAGATTCAGGGTCAGGATGTGGTTTTGATTTATTGTCGCCTACTTCATGCTGTCATGCAGGCCCTATTTGAGTGACTTTGTGATGAAGACGTATTTAGAACCATCCCTAAGTCATCAATTTATAAAACAAACAAAAAGAATCCTAGTTTCCATCTGATTAAACATAATCCCACAGCATGATACTCCCCCTCCCATGCTTTCACTAATGTTACTGAGTTGTTTTTGTCCCCAAGGAACCAAAAGTTCAGATCTATTTTCCAAAGAGACGTTTTCCAACAACAGTCGGAGATTTTCGGCAGGTTTGAATGTTTTCTGTCAGAGAATCCATGGAGACGACAGCAGATTATTGCCAGAAATGACTGCAGCCTCTCTGTGGACACGGTGGACCAGATCTGTTCAGGGATATTGATCGTAAATCAGTTCGAAAAAATTCCAAAGAAAATGCTACATGGAAAGCTGACATACTTATAACTCTGATGCTAACTGCTAGTGGTTGGTGTTTACAAAGCAGCCAATCCAGAAGCCATATTCATTTTCCTGGATGCTGATTGGCCTGAGGAGCAGAAATAAGGAAAACGGTGGATGCTAGCTTCTGTGGTGGCGCTAATGCTATTTACACTGAGTGTATTGATGCACCTTAAGGTACATTTACTGTTTGAACTGTCAAAACAAGCAGTTAGAGGCATTTTAGAGGAGGTCTCAACTATTTGTGGAGTCTAGCTCTTTGAAACTGTTGTACTCCAAAATCCCCCCAAATACCAGGCTGGTTAAACTGTTTTAAACCTTCTCCTGACTGGTACCTTGGACCTGATCCTTTGTAAACTCTGTACAAACGATAGCTTTACTAAATTATCCTACCAGAACATCTGAACTTTATTTATTGTTAATTATAATTCATATTAGTGTGTCTCAAACAAACTGGTGTGCAGCCATTTATTAATCCGTTAATATTTTTCTCCCTCTGCTTGTTTCAGGCAGGCAGTTTTATTTCTATAGCATATTTTTAGCAACAAGGCAATGCAAAGTGCTTCAGCTGAAATATGTCATGACACATCAAAGGTGGAAAATGTTGGCAAATCAGAGATTAACTGTAAATAGACCCCATATGTGAATATATATCCCTGAATTTGGGAACTAGAGGAGAAAGTCTGCAGAATCAACACTGGTTCCTGTTGGTCTGGGGCTCCACAGCTGGAGGAATGATTGAATCACCTGATAACTGATTCTGTTATTGATGAACTGGTTGGGCTCTGAGCTCCTCCTCAGTGTTTATTTGGTGTAAATGATCTGGATTTGCAGATGTTTGGGTGGTTGGAGCTTCTGCTGCAGATCAGGCTCATAGATTCCTGTTTATTTCCACCACAAAGAGGCGCATCTTCTCTTCAGACCCGATCATCGTTACAAAACACATTCTCCTCCCACAGCTGGACTCTGAAGGCCTCCGTCCAGCCGGGACTTCCCGACCGCCTCGCCGCCCTGTTCAGGCATCTTTTGTTCGGAAGAGGCGCCTGTTGGAGAGCCGATCCCCGCCTCGCAGCTGCGGCGCGGCGCCCGCCAGGCTCGGAGGCTCGGCCCCCGGGATGATGCATGGAGAAAGAGCCCGGTCTGGGTCCTACCTGATCCAGCGGCAGGTTGGTCATCTCGCTGACCGGCTGCAGGAGGCTGGAGCCGGTGCAGGCCGTGGTTCGGGTGCTTTCGTCGGCCATGGCTCCGGCTGCGCTGCTTGGGGTTCCGGCTGCAGCAGCTCCGTGATCCACCGGGGGGGCTGCTCTGTTCGTCTGCCTGAGCTGCGTCCTCTTCTTCCTGCTCCTCCTCCTCACCCTGTCTGTCTGCTCCCCCTCCTCCCTCTGAGCTCCTCTTCCTCCTCTTGTCACCCAGATCTTTACTTTCTCCTCCATCTGGATCCCTCACACCTTCCCTCTTCACCCATCACCTCACTATGTTCACTATGAACATATTCTATTATTTATTTATTCTGATCAGTCACTGAAATACCATAAATTACTGAGAAAAACATCAGCTTTTATTGATTTATTTTTTTTATTAATTAAAATGGATATGTATTTTATTTCAGTAGTTTTTTTAATGTTCTAATGTTTTCTAAAGTTCTATTTTAATATTTTTCCATGTTAATATTTATAGTTTTTAAACACACCGAAAATTGCACATAAAACATAATGTGATGACGGAAGGAAGGAAGAAAGAAAGAAAGAAAGAAACAAAGAAAGAAGGAAGGAAGGAAGGAAGGAAGGAAGGAAGGAAAGAAGGAAGGAAGGAAGGAAGAAAAGGACAAACAAAGAATTGGAATGCAGTGTGTAAAACTGTTTTTATGCCAAAAGAAAAAAACAACTGAAATGCAAAGAATGTTTTTATGCTCTATTTTTATATGTCTTTAATTTTGTTTTTTGTTTTTTTTTTAATTATCCTTACATGTTTGTTTTCTATTTAATCACATCTACATTTATTAGTACATTCTATTTAGTTTATAGAATAACTTATATTTGAATGTGTTTGTGATGAAGCTAGTGCACATATTAATTAAACATACTATTATTTTTATCCTAAAAATAAAAATAATTTAAAAAAAATAAATTTGCGTTGTAATTGTGACTTCCAAGTCAATTATATTGGAATTTTCATTTGTTTGATTCATCATTTTAATATTCATTTAACATTTTTGATTTAACAGCACTTCGAATTTCATAAACAACCTTTTGTGTTTTTACCATGTAAACCGGTTTGGCGGTAAAGCGGGTATTCATGGCATCGTCCAGCAGGTGGCGGTAAAGACCGGAAGGAGCGTCATCAGCAGCACTTCCGTATAGTTTGTTTTGGTCTGTTGTCCTGACAGCAGCGGCTTGGTTAGATCCAGGTGAACATGTCGGCTGCTGAAGATGATACCGAACTGCGGGACCTGCTGATCCAGAACCTGGAGAACAGCGGAGTTCTCAACAAGCTGAAGGTCAGTGATCAGAACCGGAAACAGAACCGAGGAGCCCACAGTTAGCGGCTTTAGCTTAGCGGCTAGCATCGAGTTGCTAATCTACTGAAGAGACAATTTAACTAGTTTAACTTTGAACAAACAGCCTTAGCTAAATGTTGGTTAAAGCTGATGAGTATATAGCAAATTTCCTATTATTTTATTCAATATTTCACATAAAATATGAAATGGCAATTTAATATTTGTAGAAATATGTAATTAAGATTAGGTATAATAATTTATGCGACCCATTTAGTACAGCCTGACTTGGAACAGTTCATACTGAACAAGAGCTAGTTATAAATTCAGTTCATTTCAGTTGAAATGAACTCAATTCAAAAATCCTATGTTTATATCAAATAAAATATAATGTTATCGCAGCTCATAAATATGAGTCATGTCGTCATAAATAAAATAAAAATAAAAAAACTCCATTGCCTCTTTTCCACTAAGCGGTACGCTCGATCATAAGCTTTCTTGAAAGAGTTGTTGTGGATGCAGATGCTGTTGGCAGAAAGGAGCTCCAGTTGCAGTCAGTCATGCAACAAAACTGAGGAGGCCTCTGACTGAAGATGACTGCTGTATGACAATCTCGTGACTGCAGTGACAAGTTATTTCTGTTTTGCCCTTTAAACCTTTAACCAATCCTACAGCTATGGAGCCGATATTATACATTATTATAATTTTCCTACCATTTCAACGCTGTGAACAAATGACCACATTGTGATGCTGCATCTCTGTCACATGACCAACCTCCTCATGAAACGCAAACAGCAGCAAAATGGAAACAATCATAGGTTGAAATGAGTTTATCAGTCTAAATTATTAGGAAATTAGTTGTGGTAGCAATGGCTATCTTCCAATAAAATCTGTGTGTTTTTCCTGTCAGGCGGAGATGAGGGCAGCTGTTTTTCTGGCCATGGAGGACCAGGACAGACTGGAGGTGAAGTTTCTTCTGGTTTGACCCACAGTTTGTGTTTTTATCCGCTGATGTTCACCTTCATCATGTTTCTCTCAGAACAAAACTCCCCTCATCAATGAAAACCTGAAGAAATGCCTCAACACTAAAGACGGTGAGTTCAGGGTCTCCTTGGAAAGCAGATTTATTTTCCTCTCAGGTAAAGATTTATCAACTTTTTAAGAAAGTCTGGGCCAGAGGAAGGAAAATCTAAAGAAATGATGGATGGATTGTGTTTGCTGTTGCAGCTGCTTACCACCAGGAGGCACTGTTGCATCACCAGACAGCAGTTTGCTTCAGACCTTTAAGCGTTTAGTTTCTGGATCATTTCTCAGATCTGTGTGATGGGCCGTTCAGCTGTGGTTCTGGTTCTGAACCCGTATGTGTCCCACAGGACACTTGGTGGCCAGTCTCATCATGGACTTCCTGCAGGTGTTCAACCTGGACTTCAGCCTCGCCGTGTTCCAGCCGGAGATCAACTCGGTGAGTCCTGCACCGTCCCTGCAGGGTGCTGAAGCTGTTAGCGCGTCATGCTAGCAGCTGCAACTCAGAGCGTCTGTGGCTGTGAATACTGGATCCCACAGAGAATTCAACCCGGTTCCTGCTGCCTGAAAATGAAACTCTGAGGCCAAACCAGCCAGCAGGAGAACCGCGTCACATCTGCAGAGTTTCACGTCATTTCTAACTGGACTGGCTGGGAAACAGTCCGGTTTTCCACACCGGGTTTTAAATAGGCAGAATTATGTATTTTCAATTCGCATAATGCCATGTTGTAGCACAATCAAGTAACTATGTTACCTTCACTTGTTATAAAAATGCTGCATACATGAAATGTAACTTGAAAGAACATTTACTTAGATATTTAGCACCTTGAAATTGGGCCTCTGTCTCTTTAAAAACTCCTGCTCTGACTGAAGCTCCGCCTCCAGGAAGTCATCTCAACATGGCTCCTCTTTAACCCTTTAATGTTTTCACCTTGTTTATTCATCTGAGCAGCAGCTGCTGTAATGAGCTCAGCAGCTCCACCAGCTGTTTGCTAATTGCTGCTGGCTAGTCTGAAGGAGCTGAGTGGGGGAGGAGGATCTGCGCCTCAAAGGCGGGGCTAGGTCCCTTCATTCAGATGGATCTGACCCATGGGGGGTTGTTGTGGTTTTAAATGTTTGACCTTTGACCTCTGCAGCTGAACGGTCTGGACGGCCGCGACCTGGTCTGCAGGGAGCTCGGCGTGTCCGATTCGGAGCTGAACCAGAATGTCCCGGTTCTGCTGGAGTTGGTCCGGAGGGCCCGGCGGAGCAGCGACCTGCCCCTCTGTGCTGAGGTGAGAGCCGGTTCCGACCCGGTCCGTGTTCTGATCCGACCCGATGCAGCTAAAACTCACCTGATTCATGCCTCTGTTCGTGTTGTCAGGGAGATAGGAGTGGACACGTCGTCAAGGTGAGCTGAAGGGTCGGGTTCTGTGATTCAGAACCAAATCGAATCATTTGGGCTCAAACAAAGTAATCAGTTCTATAGCCTAAAGAAACAGAAAGTTCTGGAAACTAATCAGAAAAAAGATTCAAATATGAATGATTATAAATTAATGGCGTTCTGTGAAGTTTAACATTTAAATATGTTAATTGTTCTTGTTCCATCGGCTCCTTTTGTTTCTCTGCAGGAACTCTCTCAGAAACAGATCGGTCACGCTCGGAAGACGTTTGACTCTCACGATAAGGTCAGTGCCGCAGTTTAACGTCGGTTTTTCTGACCAATGATGACGGCCGTCTCACCTGGGCTCTGTGCTGCCACCTGCAGGACCAGAGCGGCTCAGTCAGGAAGGAAGACCTGAAGTTTGTCTTCACAGATCTGCTGCCCGGCCTCAACAAGTAGGATCCATGTCCCAACTGGTTTCACTGGTCAGATTCCAGTTAGCCAGCCAGTAATCTGATGGCTCATCTGTGTTCCCTGTTGTGTTTGCAGGAGCATGTTGGAAAGGTTCGTCGACGAAGAGCTCAGAGATGCAGACAAAGGTGAGTCTTTGCTTTTTAGCAGAAGCTAATGCTAAAGCGCTACGCCAACATGATATTTAGTGGGAGCTAAAGCTAAAGCATTAAATTCAGCCATGTTGATTCGTACCCCATGTCAGTGACATGTGGTACAACATACTATGTTGGTTGGTAATTACACACCTACCTGTATGATTGTGCTGAAGTTTTGCTAACTGTTGCTGATTTTGTCCAATTGAACATCAGAGTATTTCAGTCAGAAAGGAAGCAGGACAGCAGTAGATTTTATCATTATTCTTATAAGGTAACATTTTATTGTGTTGTTTTCTGCAGAGGTCGACTTCCAGTCCTTCCTGTCCACATACAAACGTCTCTTCGATCAGTGCAGGAGTGTGGTGAGAGACTCATTTATTCCCATATTTTCCACCTTTAGTCCAGAAATCTGAAGGATTTTTCTAAGTTATTTGACTCTAGAGCCTCGTCTGGATTAATCCAAACTACTTCTGCTCCTTATGAAAGGTTTTCTAAAAAGGAATCCTAATCTAATGGACTCAGTTGGAGATGAAATGGAGAAAATCTGGAGGAAATTTTTTATCTTTTGGCGGCTCCAGGAAACCCAAATCGATGTGTTTGTCTGAACTGCTTGCAGGTCGTTTCGGACTCAGACGAGAGTCGACCTCAGACCCAGACTGCTGAAGACAAATCGGGCTCTCTGCCTGTCAGTAAGGTATGAGTCTCAAGTTTTATTTTTCCCTCAGAGAAATTAACTGGGAATCAGAGAAAAGTCAGAGAAAATCTGCTTCTGTGACGTGAAACCAAAATATAGGAAAACTTGGGACAGTATGGGAAATTCTAAAAATAGAGTTTTTTTCTGGACTTCTGAAGTGAATTATTAGTGAATGTATATTATAAAGTTTGACAAAAGTTTTCCAAAGTAATTGCTTGGTGGTGAATAATGGTGCTTGATGCTGTTGGATATCCAGGCTGGGCTGCTCTCTGCAGGGTTTAAGTCTAGAAAACTTGATGTTTAAGAGCTTTCAAGATTTGAATTAATCTTGAAAATAAAACTTTTCACCTGTTTTTCCTCCTTTTATCTGTTTTGATATGAGATATGTGCAGAAACTCACCTTAGTTGACCTAAAGGAGACAAAATTCATTCTTTTGATCCTTTGTTGTTCCAGTACTCTCCCAAGTTTTGGTTTTTATTTAATAGATCAGTTATATTTAGAAACGGTTCTAGACTTTAGGTCTGTAACTCAGCAGAGCAGATCCTGCTGTTGGTCTCTGACTCAGGCGCACACATCCAGTCTGTCGGTCTGATGGCTGCTGTCCATGTTGTGCACAGATCCCCAGATTCAAAGGTCAGAAGAACCAGACAGCAGCAAAGGTAAAAGACAGAGGGCAGCACTAACACCATCACTATGAACAGCACCTGAGCTCGCTAACTGGATCCCTGCTACATCTAACTCACCATCACATCTCGCCCACTGCCTCGTTTCCACTGTGCAGATCATAAAAACGCACCGAACTGCTCAGTGGAAACAAGTTTCTTCACTGTCATCCACTGAGTTGCACAGAGGGTTTTGCTACAGAGCTGCTCTAATCCTAACCAGATGTTTGTGTCCAAAGTTTCTTACTAAATTGACTGGATGAAGCTTCAGATTATCTTTCTTATCAAATCTCAGGCAGAAACAACATTTAAGTGTAATGTAAAAAGAGATTAGATATACAAATGCATATTTTAAGAGTTTAAACAACAAATATACCTTAATCTGCATTAATGTGCACACTGGGCACCAGCATAGCGCTACAGCAGAAGCTAATATTTTCTCATTCTGCTCCTGATACGGCTGCTTTGCACACGGCTGGTTTTTCAGTTTCCACGCTGCATTTTCTATTGAGCGTCGTTGATTTGATCTACAAAAATATTCACAAATACAGAACCCTGAATGGGTGCGGGTCCTCTGCACCGCTCCATTTATTTGAATTGGATTTTCCAAAACAGGAAAGTATAAACCAATTCTAGACCGTTTCAGTTAAAGTCTTTGGAGATTTTTGTTACAATTTAAACAGCAGAAAAAAAAAATCATAATTAATTTACACGTCTAACAGTAATCAGCTGCATTTCTTAAAGCTTTGAACTGCAAATGGATCGGAACCAGGCTCATTTGGATTCAGCTAATGCAGAGAAAGCACTGATTCTCTGTAGCAAACCCTTCTAACGATAGGTTTCAGTCCTTGGCACCGGTCTTTATGTAGGATGTGTTTCTTGGAGCTTATTCTGTGTTTTAGTTCTTTGGTTAGAAACTGTTGATGGTTCTGATCGGTCCTACAGTTCTTAAAAATAACCTTGTTCTCCTTTGCTGCCTGCTGATCTGTGTCCATGTTTATTATTTGCTCTATTTTTAGCCTCTAACTCTCTAGGACTTGTTTTAATGTTTTAACTTTTGGAGTTTTTAGGGTTGTGTATCGCTGCTATTACACAGCCCAATAAAACCGGTCCAAGACTGGAGTAATTGTTAATGGTTTAATAATTATATGTACTGTTGTTGTTCAGGCTAGCTTATAAAAGACAAGTCTGAATATCCACTTTAAAAATACTAATCCAACTGTCAAACCAGACGGGAGAGTTTGATTATGAACCTACAACATTCAAATGAATGGAAAACCTCTGAATCCCGGACAAGCCCCCATTTTTAATTTCTAGAAAAAAACCTCAAAAACAAAGTCTTCAGTTTCTGTATTGATTTAATGCTGGCATTAAATTTACACAAGATCAATAGATCCCTGCATTTTTTCACATTAATGCATAATTATGAGTTTATTATTAATTTTCTACATAAACGGTGAAAATATTGGCTTTGTGTGATTGATAGCTCCCACCTGAAGGTGGCAGTGTTTCTCACTCCTGTAACTCTGCTATTTAGAAATACTGAGCTGTTCAATCTGCCTGCTTGTGGAAAAGGATTTGATTTGGACAAATACTTTCAAATATTTATAAAGTACCACTACAAAATCAGTCAGTTTGACTGACTCCAAAAAAAGTTTAGATCCCGGACGGGCCCCAAGTTCAAACAACAAGCTCTTTGAAAACAATCCCACCAACAAACAGCAACAGACAGTCTGAAGTGTGCAGCTGTTTCTGTTCAGGGTCAGTTTGCTTCTTATTGAGCATGCTGTACCAATTTATCACCAAACATTTGTTTTTAACAAATCGCATCTTATGAACACCGGGGTCTCTGTTTATTTCTGTGAGAAGCCAAGACATTTAAGAAACAAATAAGTACAAACATGCTAATTTTTCTGAAGGATTTACATCAACATCTTACTTTTCCTTCACTTTATGGTTCTGATTCCTGTCAGCAACAAAACCTCCACCTGGTGATTACCAGTTGATGTGAAATCGGTAAGAAACATATTTTCTCTGAAAACGGAGATGCAACACAGAAAAAAGTTGGACAAAATGACCAGCAGAAATAGTTTCAACTGATTTATTGTCACATGAAACATGCCGTTACTGGTGAAACAAAACGAGTTGTAAACCTTCAGAAACAATTTCATTCTGCAACATCAGCTTCTGTTTCAGCCCAGAAGGTTCTGGAGCAATCCTGTGTCTTCGTCTGTAACCGACGTTGCCTCAGTTTGTTGCTCAGCTTGTGGAAACTGTTTGTCGTCCAGGACGTGGAGCAGGTTCTCTCCCTGCCCAAACAGTACCTGCAGCAGCAGCCGACAGCCGGGAGCGCCGAGCATCCGGACCTGGAGCTGGACGGAGAGGTGGACCATGATGAAGGAGACTCCTTCTTCGACGACCCGCTGCCCAAACCGTTCAAGACTTACGGCTGGTGAGAAAAACACGTTTGGTTTGGAGGAAACAGGGTGGAGAGCAGAGAGCCAGCGGAGAGAAAACCTTTAAGTCACATCTGCAAATCTCAGATCTAATCATCAAATCAGCTGCAGTTAGAATAAATGACATCAAACCTGCAGAAAACCAACAACAGTTATGCTTTTCCAAATTGTTTGCAATTTGTATTTTGTAAGAAAAAATAATAATGGATTTAAAAAAGAAAACCGAAGGTTTTGTTTTTGTGGCTTTTTTCTTTTGAAGAACAATAAAATGTTTTTTATATTGTAAAAAGTAAAATAAAAAACCCACAAAAACCACATAAAATAATAAACTGAATAAATATTTTTCATATATTTTTGAATAAACTTAACAAACTTTTCAGGATTGAGGATTTAAAATGATTTGTTATCAAACTATTAAAGAAAAAACAAAGTAATTATGAAACACTGGAGTTATATTCAGAATGCATCAAATGTTTATTTTCATTCCATTTTGATCTTTTCTACATGTTTAATATCTAAAGTATTCTGGGTTGTTTTCCAGAATATTTGGAAATTTGGGAATATTTGGAAGTGAATATTGAGTATTTGTTTTAAATGTCTGTAACTATTCTGTGAAATTTGAAGCCATTGAATTTAAATTTGTCACATTTTTGGATCTGATTCCGTTCTGGATTTTCTTGTTTGGACTCTTAAATAAATCAATAAAAATGATCTGAAATTTGCCGTTTTCATCCGGACGATCATCAGGTTTCAGCGTTAAGACAAACTGAACGTCTCTGTCTCTCTGGTGTTTCGTTTCTCCTCCTGCTGCCTCGGAAGCTCTCCGATCGGAGAAAAGGACCCGTCAGAGAAGACAAACAGTCCCAAGGAGTGAGTAGAAAAACTGAGTCAGAGGAGGTTAAAGGTCATTTAGGAGAAGAAGGAAGAAAGTGTACCTTATTCAGCACATTCCTTTAAGTCTCATTAAGAAACTTCAGACTTTCTTCTTCCTCTCTGTCCTCTCAGTGAACTCTCACCTGTCCACATCCTCACTCTGCTTTCCCTTTGACCCGTCTCTGTGTCCTGCTTTATCCCGACCTGTAGCGTTGTCCCGCTGAGGGAGGACAGTCTGTCTGGGCCGCCCGTCTCCCTGATGAGACGAGGCCGAAGCCTCAGCGAGTGAGTGTGCATGCTCCGTCCAACCAGACGAGCCTCGTTAACGCTAACGAGCCCACCACATCTAAACCGCATCAGAAACCTGCGAGGCGTTTACAGACCTCAGGACTGCAGGATTCATCGCGGGGGATTCAGGAAGCATGAGAAAAACATTTCCACAAACTCTTAGAGAAAAGAAGCATAATCAGCTGGATGATTGAAATCATATAAAAATCTAACATCTGTTTCGTTTGTCGCAGCCAAAACACAAGCAGACCACATTTTGCTAAACAATAAATTATCCCTGAAGTTATCGTGATAAATAATAATATTGTAGTTTCGAAACAGTTTTTGAGTCATATAATGATAAAAGCATAAAAATCCCAAAGACCGATAAACTTTAAATCCTACAGAACATTTAACTGAACTGGAAACGGAAGACATTTTAAATATAAAAAATAAATAAAACAACGAATAAATGATTTATGAAGTCTCTCCTTCTCAGCTCCTTCAGACTAGCCAGGAACAATTAGCAAACACCTGGTGAACCTGTGGTGCTAGTTATAGGAGCTACTGCTTGGGTAAAAACTTCGTTAAAGGGTTAATGAAGGCAGAGCTACAGGAAAAACAGAAGTTTTTAAGACTTTAAATCAGGAAATAAAGTTTCTTTCAAGTCATATTTGATATTATTTTAAAAACGACTGAAGGTAACATAGTTACTCGATTGTGCTGTAAAATGACATCATTTACCTGAAAAACACATAATACTGCCCCTTTAAATAACTTATCATGTGAACAGACTAATTCAGCTGTGATTTTAAATTCATTTCTTATTTAATTGAAACACTAATTATGAAATTGTTTTTTCAACATTAGCAGAATGTAGATAGAGATTTTGTGTATTTGTAATGGAAACGCAGCCAGTGTTGGAAATCGATTGGATTTTTCTTGGCAGGTTGAGTAAAATCAGCTGATTCCTCTGCGAATCTCTTCTTGTTGAATTAAAACACTTGTACCCGTCAGATCAGGAGGTTTATGTGAGCTGAGAGCCTCTCAGGTGAATTCCTGAATGCTTTGGTTGAGTTGGACCCGATGAATCCTGCAGATGTCTCTGATTGGACACATTTACCCGCCGCCAGCCTGTTTGGTGTCTGTGCCATGTCTGCAGCAGGTCCCTGTATCTGTGATCGCTGCGTCTCATCATGTCTGGAGCTGCTCAGCTGACTCGCTGGGCCCGCATGGGGCCCGCATGGGGCCCGCATGGTGGCCCGCATGGGGCCCGCATGGTGGCCCGCATGGGGCCCGCATGGGGCCCCGCATGGGGCCCCCCGGGCGACCGAGCCCAGTCAGATCACACTCCGCCGTGGGCTGCATGAAACTTTAATGCAACTTTAATGCAGGAGTAGAAGAGAGGCTGAACGGTCGCTGTGGCCTGAGTCTCTGCGCCTCTGTGTGTTTAACAGAGTGTGTGTGTGTGTGTGGTGTGTGTGTGTGTGTGTGTGTGTGTGTGTGTGTGTGTGTGTGTGTGTGTGGGTGGTGGGTGGGTGGGTGGGGTGTGTGTGTGGGTGGGTGGGGGTGTGTGTGTATGGGTGGGTGGGGTGTGTGTGTGTGTGTGTGTGTGTGGGTGTGTGTGTGTGTGGGTATGTGTGTGTGGGTGTGTGTGTGTGTGTGTCTGTGTGTGTGTGTCTGTGTGTGTGTGTGTGTATCGGGGGGTGTGTGTGTGTGTGTCTGTGTGTGTGTGTGTGTGTATCGGGGGGGGGTGTCTGTGTGTGTGTGCGTGCGTGTGTGTGCGTGCGTGCGTGTGTGTGTGTGTGTGTGTCTGTGTGTGTGTGTCTGTGTGTGTGTGTGTGTGTGTGTGTGTGTGTGTGTGTGTGTGTGCGTGCGTGTGTGTGCGCGTGCGTGTGTGTGTGTGTGTTCTCAGACACATGATGCTCTCTGACTCTCTTTCCATCCCTTCCCTTCCTCTCTGCTGGCTCCAGCCTCTCGGTCCTGGCTGCGGACCCAGAACCCGAGCCAGGCGATCCCGTCTCGGATCTCGGCTCAGAGCTCAGGTGAGCTGCAGGTCGTCTTCCCCCTCTGGGATGAACCCAGCAGAATTCTGGGTCCACACCTGCCGGTTCTGGTTCTTTGGTTTTATAAATGATCAATGCATTTTGATTCATCAGAACAGAAATGTTAGGATTGTTAATATTTTCCTGCAGCATAGCTGGAATTAGATCGGATAATCTGGAAACGTTTGGAAAAAGACGTCAGCAGGAACGAGAATAATTGACTTATTATCTAAAAGAGGCTAATTTTGTAAATAAAAAGCTCCGTTCAGAGGAACAGATGTTGCCTCACAATCACTTCCTCCTGTAATCCAGTATAATATAATAATAATCCAACATCATTTCCTTCAGTCTGAAGTCAAAAGATTTTCCTGTGAATATCAAAGTTCTTTATTTAAACTTAACAACAATAACGGTAAACAAACGGGTCAGAAAACCCGACCGGGTCATTTTTTATTGAATGTGTGAGAAAACCTGGAGCCGTCTGGAATCTGAATTGGGTTCATCCGTCCCAGATGAACATTCTGGGTTTGTTCTGGTTCTGGTTCCGGTTTCACGGGGGGCAGAATGAACCGGGTTCTGTGTTCTGACCCACAGGAAGCCGGAGGCGTCCAGTACCAGAGGGAATCCGGCGGGTTCTCTATCTGAGGCGTCGAGGCCCGGAGCAGGAAGCATCGGGTCGGAACCGAGCCACAGCAGGAACGGTCAGCCGACCAGACGGAGGATAAATTGCTTCTTCCTTTCTGAGGTTTTTAGAGAATCAGTTTCTAAACATCAAATGTTTTTCTTTCTGTAGGGGTGAAAGACTTTAAAGAGAAGTATTTCAAGTCTCCGAGCGACAGAACCGGGACTCTGCATTTGGGTCAGAACCTTTTGATCTAATTCTTCCTTTTGCTTCCATTAGTTCCAATAAGGAATCCGCGTCTAACAGTTGGATTGGGTTTTTTTGTCTCCACAGACGAAGACGTGGAATATGACGACGACTTCAACAGGTCTGATGATTGAGCTGCTGCAGAGGGATGTCGGAGTAGGGGACGTGTTAAAGTAGGGGACGTGTTGGAGTAGGGGACGTGTTGAGTAGGGGACGTGTTGAGTAGGGGACGTGTTGGAGTAGGGGACGTGTTGGAGTAGGGGACGTGTCGGAGTAGAGGACATGTTAAAGTAGGGGACGTGTTAAAGTAGGGGACGTGTTGGAGTAGGGGACGTGTTAAAGTAGGGGACGTGTTGGAGTAGGGGACGTGTTAAAGTAGGGGACGTGTTGGAGTAGGGGACGTGTTAAAGTAGGGGACGTGTTGGAGTAGGGGACGTGTTAAAGTAGGGGACGTGTTGGAGTAGGGGACGTGTTATAGTAGGGGACGTGTTATAGTAGGGGACGTGTTGGAGTAGGGGACGTGTTATAGTAGGGGACGTGTTGGAGTAGGGGACGTGTTGGAGTAGGGGACGTGTTGGAGTAGGGGACGTGTCATAGTAGGGGACGTGTTAAAGTAGGGGACGTGTTGGAGTAGGGGACGTGTTGGAGTAGGGGACGTGTTGGAGTAGGGGACGTGTTGGAGTAGGGGACGTGTTATAGTAGGGGACGTGTTATAGTAGGGGACGTGTTGGAGTAGGGGACGTGTTATAGTAGGGGACGTGTTGGAGTAGGGGACGTGTTGGAGTAGGGGACGTGTTGGAGTAGGGGACGTGTTGGAGTAGGGGACGTGTTGGAGTAGGGGACGTGTTATAGTAGGGGACGTGTTAAAGTAGGGGACGTGTTGGAGTAGGGGACGTGTTGGAGTAGGGGACGTGTTGGAGTAGGGGACGTGTTGGAGTAGGGGACGTGTTATAGTAGGGGACGTGTTATAGTAGGGGACGTGTTGGAGTAGGGGACGTGTTATAGTAGGGGACGTGTTGGAGTAGGGGACGTGTTGGAGTAGGGGACGTGTTATAGTAGGGGACGTGTTAAAGTAGGGGATGTGTTGGAGTAGGGGACGTGTTGGAGTAGGGGACGTGTTGGAGTAGGGGACGTGTTGGAGTAGGGGACATGTTGGAGTAGGGGACGTGTTGGAGTAGGGGACGTGTTGGAGTAGGGGACGTGTTGGAGTAGGGGACGTGTTATAGTAGGGGACGTGTTAAAGTAGGGGACGTGTTGGAGTAGGGGACGTGTTGGAGTAGGGGACATGTTGGAGTAGGGGACGTGTTGGAGTAGGGGACGTGTTGGAGTAGGGACGTGTTGGAGTAGGGGACGTGTTGGAGTAGGGGACGTGTTGGAGTAGGGGACGTGTTGGAGTAGGGGACGTGTTGGAGTAGGGGACGTGTTGGAGTAGGGGACGTGTTGGAGTAGGGGACGTGTATAGTAGGGGACGTGTTAAAGTAGGGTATGTGTTGGAGTAGGGGACGTGTTGGAGTAGGGGACGTGTTGGAGTAGGGACGTGTTGGAGTAGGGGATGTGTTGGAGTAGGGGACGTGTTGGAGTAGGGGATGTGTTGGAGTAGGGGACGTGTTATAGTAGGGGACGTGTTGGAGTAGGGGACGTGTTATAGTAGGGGACGTGTTGGAGTAGGGGACGTGTTATAGTAGGGGACGTGTTGGAGTAGGGGACATGTATAGTAGGGGACGTGTTGGAGTAGGGGACGTGTTGGAGTAGGGGACGTGTTATAGTAGGGGACGTGTTAAAGTAGGGGACGTGTTGGAGTAGGGGACGTGTTGGAGTAGGGGACGTGTTGGAGTAGGGGACGTGTTGGAGTAGGGGACGTGTTGGAGTAGGGGACGTGTTGGAGTAGGGGACGTGTTGGAGTAGGGGACGTGTTGGAGTAGGGGACGTGTTATAGTAGGGGACGTGTTGGAGTAGGGGACGTGTTGGAGTAGGGGACGTGTTGGAGTAGGGGACGTGTTGGAGTAGGGGACGTGTTGGAAGAGCTTCAGTCTGAGGATCCTGAGTGAAGTTTCCCTCCCACCTTCTTCAAGTCTAACAATATTACTGTCAAACCTCTTTGAAGTATTTTTTTTTTTTTGTTTTTGCTGCTTTTATTTTAAAGATTTTAAGAAGTTTCTTGAGGTCAACAGAGGTCATCATGAATATCTGCAGTGTAAAAGCAGCACAAATGAAAATTATTGCTGCACAATTGTAGCTGATTGACATGCAATGTGTTAGATTGTGTAAATGTATGTGGGGAGTGTTTGACCTCTGATGACCTCTGGAAACTTATATTTATATCATTAAATATGCAGCACAAATTAAATGTTTGCAGCACAAATTAAATGTTTGCAGCACAAATGAAATGTTTGACACTAATTTTGTTTCATTTGAAGGAAGTGGAGGTTCCAGCTTCACTCGGGTTTGACCAACAGCAGAAAAACAAATTCAGAAACACTTTATTGACCCTGAAGGGAAAGTTCAGCTTTAAGGGAGGAAGTTTTGTGTTTCAGCCATCGGTCGGACCTTTCCAACGGCGAGCTGAGCATCGGCGAGGAGATCGAGGAGGTTTCCATCGAGGGTCCGGAGACGAGCGACAAGGTTTAACCCTCTCCTGTCTGGTCTGAGCTGAGGTCAGTTCCAGCTCCTAATGTCCGTCTGTCTGTCTGTCGCTCAGCTTGACGAAACCACGCAGGACCTGAGCGTCTCTCAGATCAGTCAGAGTCACGGAGCCGACTACATGGAGGACGTGTCCTGAAACTCCCATCATGCACCTCTTCCCCTCCGGATATTTAAATCTGTACAGTTTGATTAAAGCAATAAAAGGGTTTGTTTTACTGGGTTCAACTGGTTTCTGTTCCAGTTTCTGCCTGAAGGAAACAAAGAAATGTACGGAAGGCCATTAAGGACAAAAAATTTGTCTTAATATGAAGGTAATACATTTATTGGTCTGTGGAATAAATGCTAAAATAAGTTACACTAAACAGTAAGAAATATATGTGACATGAGAAAATAATAGATGTATTTCAAAATAAAATTAATTCAGAAAATATTTTTTTACTTTTTATTGAAAGTAACCAAAATCAAGGAAGCATGCACAGTAATATTTTCCTATAAAATATTAAATCAATTTTACTAAATGAAAGTTCCCTGACTTAAATACGTGTAGGATTTCAAAAATAAAAGTCATGCTATACATGTCATTAATGATGATTAATAATCCTAAATCAAGCCAAATATCTGAATGTGCAATTACAAAATAAAAGCACTCCATAATAAATTGTGTTTGAAGCTGTATCATTTCATTAAATAAATTTGATAATGTACAGATTTTAGATATAAAATGACAAGTAGCATCAATCAAGATGAACTAAAATAAAATAAAAAATGAATATAAATTCACAGCAACTGCTGAGAAAAATCTAGAGATTAGTTGCAGCTGTTGAGTACAGCAGTGGAGGTATGAGACTGTGGGACGTTTCTTTCCAAACACAAAAAAAACAAATGTATCAACATAACATCTGATTTAATGGCCTAGTCAAAGTCCAGACCTCAGAAAGCTCTAGTAGAAGCTTCTGGATGGAGGATTTGAATAGAAAACAATAAGTTCTGTTTTATTCTGAAGCAGAGCACCACTCTGACGAAGAGACGGTTCCCGTTCTGGTCTGTTAGCCGCTGGACGGTTTGCAGCTGCTGCATGTTTTATTAATCGCTCTCTGATGTTACAGGCTGAACCAGACAGATGAGATCGGACCTCCAAAAGCTCTTCAGATGAGTCAGAACCAGATGCTGCGCTCATGGTTTATGCGTGTCTCAGCTGGCTTCGTTAAAAGCTCCTAAATGTTTGCAGAAGAGCCTTAAAGTAGACGCCAGTGTCTGCAAATAAAGTGATGTAAGTTTAAATAAACGTGAGAACGAAGCTTCGAGTTCAGCAGGAGGAAGCTGGAAGGACAAAGATCACTTCTGCTGGGGCTGAAAGAGGAAGACTTCAGCAGGTCTCTCACACACACACACACACACACACACACACACACACACACACACACACACACACTGTTTCCCTTTTATCAGCAGGGTTCAGAGTGATGTTGCGCAGCAGCATCAGTCTCGCCTCTGCTGCTCCGCCGCTGCATCACTAACATCAGCCCTACTTCTAGGTGAGCTCTAATATTTTCTCTAAATGTTTTTGCTTTAATCTGCTGAGTCTTAAAGTTTCAAGTTGACATTTTAAACTTTAGATGTTTGGTTTCCTTGCTTTATGCTGTGACGTCTGTTTGGTAGAAACGTTTCGGCTGTTTGGCCGGAAAAACGATGAGATTTGAGTCTCATCATCTGAAGCTTCATGTTGTTTGGATGTGATGTAACGTCTGATGGCGCCTGGCGCCTCACAGCTGCTCACTTTTATCTCCTTATCTCTGAAATCTTCCTGATGCGGTCATGTTCACGTGTTTGTCTATTTAAAGCCTTTTTACGCTGGCAGACCACAGATGATATCAGTGAAACCGACGATGTGAGCTCTGACTCTGTTCCTGTTAAATAACAACCTGCTGTGTTGCGTTCTGACAAATTTGATACTTTCTTGGTTTGTATTTTGTCTCTGAGGTTCGTCTGAATCTGATCTATGAACTGCAGCATTCAGAAATGTTTGAGCTCAGAGCAGATGTGTGAAGCTGAGAGCCACAGTTTCCTGCATCGTTTTTTATTTTAGTTTTTTTTAACACCTCCCCTTAATTATGAGCAACTTCTTAAAGGTTAAACATGTTAAACATTTGCACAACTTTCACTTTATTTTTAATCATAAATGCACCAAATGCTGTTGATGCATCGCAGTCAGAATCTGGTGGATGTTGTGAAGCTTTTATTAGGCTGCAGTTTATTTGTTTAAGCTGAACTTTATGAGGAAATGTTTGAGAACTGATTTACAGCCACTGGGTTGTAATTAATTAACTTTGACTTAAAATAAAAACAGTATAAAACGTGAGTGAAAGTAGTTTGACGTCATCCCTGTTGTAAAAATGGATCAGTTTTTATTTTAAACGGAAAGGAAAGAAATTATTCTTACTGCTGCTGAAATAACGTAGCATCAAGTATCAATGCATTTAGTGATTCTTTGTTAGGATTTTAGTTTGTATTCATTTTTTACATATTTTGTAATTATTATCATTAAAGTTTTTATTTTTGATCAGTTTTTTAAATGATATTTTGAAACATAGATCCTAGTTACTGAATGCAGCTGTTGTTTCTTAAGACTTTCTGCTCTTCATTTAGCTAAAACCAGCATAATGAGATGGTGATTAGTCAGGCTCTCTGCTCCGGTAGCTAGTCTGTTTAGCAGAAATGCTAACATTAGCCTGCTAGCTGTGGTGTTAATATAGCGGTAGCTTAATGAGCGTGATGGGAGCTACTCTTTGGTTTCCATGACAACTGTGAAGTAGTTTTTTAGCTAGCTGGCAGCGGGTTGGGAACCCTCAACCTAAACGTGTGTCGGGTCAGCACACGTTGACCCAAAGTAACGGAAACAGGAACCAAAGTTCTTCCGGACCGGCTTCAGTGTCTGATGCGAAGAGAGAAGCTCTGAAACAGAGGAAAACAGGAAGGCGTTGTACTGTAATGCCTGAACCGAAGCCGTTTACAGCTCTGAACCGGATTCATGTTTCTGGACGGACCAGAACCAGGTTCTGCTGCACAAACACCTCAAATGAACAGATTCAGTTTTCAGACCAGAACGAGTCTTTGATACTCGGCTGGAAATTCATCAGTAAAGTTTTGTTATTGCTGTGTGTGAAGTTCGAACTGCTGCAGTGAAAACACCAATCAGTTTCTGGAGGTTTTCTATTGAGTGAAGCTGTTGCATCATCAAGGTTCATATTTACTTTGACCTGAAGATGAGAGGCGAGTGTAAAAGAATCACATTGTTATATCAGAGTGAGTCTTGTAGGACAGAAATGAAATGTTTTGGAAAAAGTAATGATGGAAATAATGGCTCAAGTCTAATGACAGGAAGTTGAGTGGAAGGAAAAAGTGTGATAGAAATGAGAGACGACAGATGAGCTGAAAGCCGCTGTCAGACCAACCTGGACTTCCTGAACGCCTCAGCAGAACTTCATGTTCCTGTGACTAACATAATGACTTGAATGTTTCAATATGTTGTCAAAGCAGTAAGAAAATCCACATTAAAAGGAGAATTAAAGTTATTTTAAAAGGTGAAAGTTCCTCAAAAGCTTCAGGTTCCTGATCTGTACTTCTGCTCCATGGGCAAACTTTTGTCTTCACCGACTTCTCAAATTTAACATTTCATTTCCAGCTGCAGAACAAGCTGACCTCACGGCTCTACGCCGGTTCTTTGGGTCGACGTTTTCACCTTTTGACCCTTTCAGGTTTCAGAACGAGACTCTGGTTCCCAACGTTTTCAGGATTTCAGTTCAACAGGAAAACTAAACTCCTGTTTCTTTCTTCACTGCTGATTGTTTGTCAAAGGCTGGACAAACACAATGTTTAGAAATAATAATAATAAAAAAATCTATATTATTCATAATTGTCAATGTTATAATAATAATTACTATAACGTCATAAAAATAAAAATTTAGTTTTTTATTAATAAAAATGCAAAACATCAAGGATAATGATATTAATAAAATAATTTTAAACAATAGTAACTAAATATTAGATATTTTATTTCAATACATTCAAATGAAAGATATTCTTATTATTATTATTATTTTAAAAGGATAGATCCATGGATTCTCAAAACAAAGTAACAAATATTGGAAATAAGACATTTTCTCAGTCGTTGTTCACTAACAGCTGCTGCGTCTTAATAAAAGTAACTGAACTGAGATATTTGCAGTGGAAACTAAACAAAGTTCTGTTTTGTGTTTCTCAAAGTGCAGCAGATAAAATCATTGAAAGTCAAACATTAAGGAGCCGTTTTCTGTCTGCTGCTGGTCGCTTCGTTCAGTTTCCATCTGCAGCAGGAGAGAGAAGCAGCACAAAAAAGAAGCAGCACAAAAAGAGAAACTGCACCTTTAATTTTGATAGGAGTAAATAAAAAGAGGAAATGCACATGCTTTTATTTCCATACAGTTTGTCTCATTGACTTCAATTGAGCTGCATTGATAAAAACAAACCAGTTTTATGAATGCTGAATTATACTCATGTTTGTGCATTAATTGAATTTCCTCTTCAGGTCACAAAGCTTTAAAAACTGATGAACTCCTGCAATAAATGAGGAAATAAGTCAACGATAAGACACCGTCCTTCTAGACTCTTTTCATGATTTCATCTTTTGGTTTTTCCCCAGATGTGAAATAGTGAGAATCTGTATTTACTCAGTTTTGTAATTTGCGGTTCTGATCTGTGCTGGGGAGGGAAAGAAACCACTCGTGAACTGGGTCACTCCGAGTCAGGCTGACCTCTTTTCTGCAAACTTCCTCCCAACTCCGACACCGTAAAAAACAAAGTCGTCTCACCTTCAGACCTTCTTCAGACCACAACTGGGACACGCTGGTCTGATGCCGCCTCGCTCTTTACCAGCAGCACCAGCCCTACCTACCGCCGAAGCTTCGGGGCGCACTGCAGATCATTTCAATATCTGAGGGCTTTTGAACTTCTTCCATCACTCTGATTAAAACTGGCAGAAACTCAAATGAAAAACATTTTTTGTCACAAACTGAAAATGTGGAGGTGGAAAAGTGTGTCAGTGACAAATACATGGAAGCAGATTTTATGAGCGCATGAGGTGGCTCAGTGGTGTTGCACATATTTCCTGTTGATTAGAACTTCATAATGAAAAAACTGCTGCTTCTGCTGTTAGCAGTTCTGACATTTGAACCAAAAACAGAGGAAGAAATGACAGGAAGTGGAAGCATCTGCACTGAAAGTTCTGCACTCATCTGATCACATGACCTATTTAACAAGAGCCTTTTGTCACCAAATATGTCTAATTATTTCAGAAAAATGCCAGAGGTTCAGCCCACAGTACTTCAGGTTGTCCTAGTAATTAATCATAAAATCTCAGAACTTGTCAAAATGTGACTGGGTCATTCAAGGACCTGACAGCCTGTCTCAGGGTCTGCTACCCCCCACCGGGTTCCCAGAGGGACACGGTCCAACTCCTTCGGTTTGTCCACAAAGTGCCTGGAGGCTGGTTGGGTGAACTCCCTCACACCCTGCATGACCCAGCTCAGGGTTTAGAGCTGAACAAAAACCACACTGCTCCTCCTGGATCTGAGGTTCGACTATCCAATGGACCCTCCTCTCCAGAACCACTGAATGCCCACAGTGACCCTCTGTGGTGTTCCTGCTTGTGGAATAGGACGGAAACCACCCAGGTCTGCCAATCCAGACGACCTGCCCTCAACCCCACAACATCCAGAGCCGTAAGGAACTCTGGGCAAATCTCACCCACCGCTGCGGTTTGGGAACCCTCAACCTAAGGAAACCCGGACACACGTTGACCGAAAGTAACGGAAACTTTCGGTCAACCTCTGTGACCTCAGAACCAGAGATTGAAAAGCCCGACCTGAAGCTCCAGGCACAGAAAGCTGTGCCTGGAGCTTAGGTCCATCAGCACATCTCAAAGGAAGACATGCTGAAGGGATTAGAGAGTCTTCAAAGTATTCTGCCCCCAAGAAAGTCTTTCTCCATGGTCTCTCCGAACTCCTCCCATGACCACCTGAGCCAGAAGGGCTCCAGTGCCCCTCCATGGGCTCCGAACAGGGCGGGTAGTCAGAACCCATATAGAACCCCACATAGGCACAGGGAGGCTAACGCTGGTAGAATGCCCACTTCTGCATATTACCACCCCTGCCTAAAACCAGGGGCAACAGAGTGAAAGATTCAAGGAGATTTCTAACCACAACCTCACAGAGAAATGACTTTCCACATCCTGAGAGCAATAATTACAATATTTACACAGGCTAGCTACAATTTAAAAAGAAATCTTTGACTGTAATTGGAATGTTTTTCCAACGTGTTTAATATTAACATTATTGCCACCAGCTGGTTTATCATAACTGTTGAAGCCTTTTGTTTGGAAGTGCTGTTCTTTATTCTCAACTTTTTTTTTTTACTTTTATTACAGCAAAACAAGATGAACATCTCCAATGACACCACCACTTATCCACCCTATGAATATGATGACAACTATGGTGATGGTGGTTATGAACCATGTTCTAACAGTAACAACAACAGTGTGAACGCTGTGGTTGGTCCTTACATTCACTCCATCATCTGCATCCTGGGCCTGGTGGGGAACAGCCTGGTCATCCTGACCTATGCCCTCTACAAGAGAACCAAATCCATGACTGACGTCTACCTGCTCAATGTGGCCATCGCTGACCTGCTGTTCGTTCTGGCTCTACCTTTCATCGTCTACAACGAGCTGTACTCTTGGCCCATGGGGCAGGTGGCCTGTAAGCTGCTGCGCGGTTCCTACAGCGTCAACCTGTACAGCGGCATGCTAATGTTAGCCTGCATCAGCACCGACCGCTACATCGCCATCGTCCAGGCTCGCCGGAGCTTCAGGTTACGCTCGCTGTCAAACAGTCGCATTATCTGTGCCCTGATCTGGATCTTTGCCTTACTGGTGTCTGTTCCCACTTTCCACTTCTACCATTGGTACCAACCATCACATAATGCCGTCACCTGGATCAGCAACATCACCGATCAGGAAGAGACAACAGATCCACAGTACGTCTGTGAGTGGAAATTTGATGATAGCAACACTGCTAGCAGAGTGAAGGTTGCTGTTCCCAGCACCCAACTGGCCATTGGCTTCTTCCTGCCGCTGCTCATCATGATCTTCTGCTACACTGCAGTCATCGTCACCCTGCAGAAAGCCAAAAACTTCCAGCGACACAAAGCGGTCCGAGTGGTGATGGTGGTGGTGCTGGTGTTCATCGTCTGCCACCTGCCTTACAACCTGGCCCTGTTGTATCAAACTGTCCATTTGTACGTACAGAGCGATTGTGTCGAGGTGGACTCTCTGCAGACGGCGATGTCTGTGCTGCAGACCGTCGCCTACCTGCACTGCTGCCTGAACCCGGTGCTGTACGCCTTCATTGGAGTAAAGTTCAGGAACCACTTCAGGAGGATCTTCCGTGACCTGTGGTGTTTGGGTAAGAGGTATATCGGCCCGCGCCGCTTCTCCAGGGTCACTTCGGATACCTTCATGTCCACAATTCGCCGCTCGGTGGACGGGTCCAGTGAAAACGGCACGTCTTTCACTATGTGACCAGATTGAGACCTGCAGTTCTATAAAATTCAAACTTCACTCTTACGCAACTTTAGCCACAATGTGATAAATTTAGAGAAAACAGAAAGTGTCAAACTCTTTGGGTTTGTTGTGTTAATTGTTGCTCTGCTGCCATTGGGATCTTGGCTGATAATATTGTGTCAGCCATGCCTAGCATTATGCTTATACATGCCCTATAGGCATAATGATGTCTAAAGGTAAAACTGACTAAATTTCATTGGAACGAAGTCGACAAGTCAAGTTTTTCTTCTGTCTCAGTGAGTTTGGTTGAAAGATGTGCTGACAGATGATTCCTGATGTCTGATGTGGTTCAGTGTGTGATGACTGATGTCTCCATTTAGGATAAATTTGGACAAGACATACAATTATTGTTCCTGATTTTCCAGAAAATGTGTCACTTATAAAAAAGCACTATTTTATTTCTGGAATTAGATTTAAAACTAGGATTCACATAAAACATAAAATGAGGACGTATAGACTTCCTGCTTCTGGATGTTGATATTTGTGGAAAGTTATTTAAAAATTAGGTAATTTCCCACTAATGAGAAAACACAGATCTAAAACCAATATATCTGGCACTTTAGCGTCATTCTTTAGTGGAGATTCAATTCATTTATTCCTTGGAAGGTTGGAAAAACTCTGAAACCTCCATTTTATCGTTCTGTTGAACAACATTAGTTATGTAGACGAAGATAAGAACCATTGTGGTTCGTTCCAGAACTTACATTTTCTTCTGATTATTATTGTTTTGATGATTTCCATATGTGATTGGCTGGTTCAATTATTCAAACTCTATGGAAAATGCTCATCACAATACAAATTGTAGATAAATGTTTTTTTACTGACTTGGAGACTTGAGATTTTTTGTACGTCTTTTGGACTTGTGTAACCTGAGGATGTTAAATATAGGATTTTATTTCTCAGACGGAGACGGCGCTATTTGGTTTTTATCTCCTATGTTCCTCCAGCTTTTCTCTGCTCAAACTTAATCAGCAAGGATTAAACTCTGAAACGTTTGCCAGCTTTGAGGCTTTTATTTTGATGTGTTGAGCTGAGAGAGTCTTCCTGTCATACTGTAAGCAACTTTAATGTGTGTGAATGTTGTGGCTGATATAAAATCTGTATTTTGGGGGATTTTGGTGTCAAAATAAATATTTTTTGTCACATAAAGTTGTTTGTCGTGGAGTTCTGTGGGACGCCAGGTGAAAGCAAAGATTGTCGTTACTCTGAAGATGTCAGACTTTGTCCGGCCTTTTACTTGACGTGCTTTAAATGTTTTTGAGCCGCAGCATCACGAACCCACAGGACGACCCAGAGGTGAGAAAACCTCACTGAGTTCAAATGTTTAGTCATTTATTACAGGAAGAAGAAGAGAGTCAGAGGTGAAAACATGGCGAGTAAAACTGCAGCAATGTTTTAGTTTTTCCCCAGAATAAATTTGCTCTTATTGTTGAATTTCCACAGCAGATATTACAGCAAATTTTAATTTGTTTTGTCAAGCAAAATCAAATTCAGAATAAGTCATGAATCTATATTTACTACATATGTGTAATATTGTTTTGAATGGTGAATTAACATTAATTTGTGGTTAAAATCTTGATTTATTAATGTAGTGACATTTGTGAGAAACAAAACCTTAAATGAAACCAGTTTGTCATGGTGATAAACTTTTTGGTAATGGCCAGCAGAGGGCGCTGTTGCATAAAAACAAACTCCAGGAAATAACTGAAAAAACTCCGAATGTTATTTATATCAACATCATTATGACTTTCTGCTTAAAACACTTTGCTTAAAGATGAACTTTGAAGAAATGATGGTTGAACTGGACTCTGCTACATTCTCCTACTACTCTCCAAGTTTTCTTTATTTACTGTTATTGTAACTGGTGGCTGTCTTTTCTGTCAATTTTTAACTTTTTTATGGAAAGTACACCAGGTCTGCTGTTCTGTTTACCTGTAACCTTCCTTTTATTGTAAAATACCTTGAGGTGACATGTTATGAATAAATAATTATGTTATGAATAAATAAATTAATCAATCTTTAGTGTTATTAAATGCCCATTTACAGTTTTATTATTATATTTCCTTTTGATGGGATTCAATCCTTTTCTGTTCTAAAACCTCATAGTTTACTGAAACTTGGGGACCTAAAGGCCCGAATCCCTCTCTCTGATTGGTCCAAAATATCCTATTATTATCTGGGAAAATATTGGATCAAAATAAAGAGAGGAAGGGAAAAACTGAGGCTGATTGAACTGTAAGTTTCCTTCTTAAATGTGACGTTTAACAAGAAAACTTCTTCAATATTCCATCTTTCAAGGAACATTCATAAGAAGTATTTTTGAGTATTATCTCAAAAATACCTCAAAGTAAATTATACCAGGCTGTGAGCAAAGCCAGCTATGATTTAATCTGCAGTAAAAAGTTTTCCAGGGCCAGAGAAGCAGCTCAGATGCAGAAGCAGCTCAGATGCAGAAGCAGCTCAGATGCAGAAGCAGCTCAGATGCAGGGAAATGGAGGAAACTGGAGTCAAGTGAACTTTAGAACTGGTTTGGAACTGGTGCAGAAAATGGAAACTGGAACTGTGTTGCCCAGGATTCACAGATAAATATCGGAATATCATCTGCATATTGAGGAATTTCTGCTGCTTTGTGTTTTATTTGATGGACACAAACTGTTTCAAGCAATTATTTTTTTAATGATTTATGATAATATAAGAAAATGTGGATGAAAAGCAGCTAAGTCTAAAAAAACTAAAAGATCATCAGAAATCCTGAAGAACATGTTTACAGAGCCACTTTATGAGGTAACAGGAAGGTCTGACTGCTTGGATGTGACAAAAACTTTATGGACAAAAAGCAGAAAACTAATTTTAAGTTCAGCATAAACAACAGAATATGAGCCAAAGTTGATCCATATTTGATTTCCATAAAACATTCACATTAAATCAGACATTTCCCAATCAAATCTCATGTTTCTGTAATTTCAGGTCTAAAAGTTGGATTTCATGTCTGGATTCTAGTTCCTCTCAGATGGTTGCTTCATGTTGCAGATCAGGATCTCATTAGTAATCCTGACACAGGCAGGATATGAAACTGAGGCGATGAGATATGAAAGAGTCTCATTCAGTCTCATTCAAGCTGGAGACACTGCAGCTCTGCTGGATGTTTGAAACTCAGCCTTTCACTCACAAAACTGCTTTTGTTCTTCAGATTCAAGCCTGAGGAAGAGGAGCAAAGTTTCAGAGAAAAGACACACAAACATGTTAAATATCGGAGGCAGCAGCTTTATTTTGCATTCGGATCAGAGTTCAGATGAAACAGTGAAACATTCAGCAGGTGATTTACAAACACATGAAAACTCAGACATCATTTCAGTTTAATCTGAAAAGAAGCAGAAACAAATCTTAATCTGTGCCGGTCCTGATGGGAAAACCTCCCAAATCATCACTCCTCCACCGCCGTGCTTCAGTTGAATGAATTTATGCAATAAATCCAAACACTTAAAAAAAGTCACAAAAGGCCACAAGTTGGACTTCAAAGTATCAACGCATGAACCCAAATCATCACACCTCCACCCTGACAGTGTGATATGAATGAACAGGTCATAGTTTTTGTTATGAACTTTAACCTTTAACCTACTCATGCAGAGGACTTCCTGTTTTTCTTTGCCTTTTCTCTGAGCATCTGAGTCAATGGACTGAAACCTTTCGGTGGATGTTGGAGGGTTTCTGCCGCCCTGCAGAGGTTGATGGGCAGCAATAGTTGCTTCTCTAAAGGCGTTGCTGGATGTTGCTGACAACCTGTGGCTCCAGAGCAACAAGTTTTATTCCAGTGATAACAGCATGCCTGACATTTCTGTTGTAATATTAATGAAACATGTCTGGGTTCATGTTTATCTGCAGGATTTATGACTGTTGTCCTGAATTATGCAGGTTTTCCTTCATATTTTAATAAACAGCCAACAGTCCCTGCGTCAGATTTGACGTCACATCTATAAAACTTATTTTTGTTTGTCTCATGTTTATCAGCTGCAAATCATATTTTATTCCTTATTGCCGAACTAGTTGTCCTCATTTTTAAAAGATATTTGAATATATTTCATTCTATTTCTATTTTTATGCTCAATAAACATCATTTATCCACCGACAAACCAAATTAACAATAAGAGAATAGATAATGTTTTATGTATTAATTTTACAAATTGCACTTTTTGAACTGAATTATTGATTATCTGTTCTATGACACGTTGATTGATCGGGACTCGCAGGATCATCGGAAGGCACCGCGGCGGACCACCCGGTTCGGGTCACTTGTCCAGACTGAGGACGAACGGAACCAGGGACCCGCGGGCCTCCGCGGGCCCCGGAAGCAGCTCCGACAGGAAGCCCTCGCGCTCCTCACGCAGCTCGAACTGCAGCGCGTGGCCGCGGCTCACGCAGTAGATGCGGTCTCCGAGCACCGCACAGCGGAACGGCTGCGGGTTGTCCAGCGGGAAGCGCGCGCCGCCGAGCCACACCTTCACCAACGTGTTGTACCTGTACACGCTCACGGCCGCGCGCTCCCGCTCCACGTCGAAGCGGTAGATGAGGTTGCGGTGCGCCACCATGTCGGCGGAGCGCCGCCGGCTCTCGTTGAACGGACACTCCTCCCACTCGTCGCGGCGGCTGTCGTACCGCAGCAGGCGGTAGAACAACGAGCCGCCGGACACGAACAGCGCGCCGCCGCACGCAACAGCCTCGTGCGCGACCGCGAAGGAGCCTCTGGGCAGCGGAGCCACGTGATCCCACCTGTCCGCGCGCGGGTCGTAGCGCTCCACGGTGAACAGACACTCCCCCCCGATGGCGTACAGGTGTCCGTCCATGGAGACCAGCCGCAGCTGGCAGCGCGGCTGCGTCAGCGAGCGGACCCGGCTCCACAGGCCGGTCCGCGGGTTGAAGCAGAACACCCGGTCCGACGCCGTGGAGCGGCCGTCCTGCGTCCCCACGCCGCCCGCCACGAACAGGTAGTTGTAGAGGGTGCACATCCCGGAGCCTTTAGCCGGGACTTCCTCCGGCAGGACGGTCAGCAGCTCCCAGCGCTGGGAGTCCGGCTGGAGGCAGAACACCCGGCGCGGGGCGGGGTCCTCCCGCTGCGGGCTCTGCGGGCGGCTGCTCTCCAGAGCCTCGGAGGTCTCGGCCACCGCCAGCACTTTCCGCCCCTCCATCCTGCGGGCCAGGATGAGCTCCCTCTCCGCCGCGCTGAGCCGGCCGAACACGGCGGGGCTCCGCAGCACCTGCAGGTAGTGGTCGCTCATGAAGCGCAGCAGCCGCTGCTTGTCGCGCTCGGAGCCGCCGCGCTTCGCCTCTTCCAGCAGCTCGTAGCAGTTTTCCGCGGTGATCTGCGGCGGGTTGTCGCTGCGGTCTGGATCCGGATGCTTCACCTCGTCCGCTGCCATCTGGTCCATACCGGCTCGGTTCGACCGGGATCCTGTCAGGCCCGGTTATCCCCAGCAGTTGACGCCCTGCTGGCTGCGCTCATTCAGTCACTTCAAGTTTCCCTCCTGCTCTTCTTCTCCTCCATCTCTTCCTCCGTGTCTCTGGACACAAAGCCGGACACTGACCGCTGGACTCTTCCTCCTCCTCCTCCTCCTCTTCCTCCTGGACTCCGAGTCTACGCCCTGCAGGCGGAGCGGAACCGGCTGTTCGGTGGAACAATGGTTTTATTACAGCTTTCACAGAAAACTGCAGAAAGTTCGGCGGGAAGAAAAAAAAAATAAAATTTCATAAATTGTGAAATAAACACAAAACATCTGTTTGTTTCTGGGAACTGCGTGAAGAGAGTTGCTGTCCTTGGTGCTGTTCCGGGATCAGGTTGATCCAGCAGGACGTGCAGAAAACCGAACCAACGAACAATTCGAACAAATTACAAGCAGCTCCATCTGCATCAGACAGAACCTCTAAAATGAGGATCCGAACCCAAATCGATCATTAATTCACTCATTCCCTTAATTCAAAGGCTAATTCAGTGAATGGATTAACATGGTTTCTGCACATCCAGGTTTCAAAACTATGCAAAAAAATAACATATAGTTGGAGAATTTGATGCCAAATCGGTTCGAACCGGTTCTGTCAGAACCTTTCTCCTTCATCACCCTGCAGTCCAATTACAGCTAATGCGCTTTTTCTGTAAATCAATGAAAGTGGATGAAATGTCAGCGATTTTCCTGCCGAACAGCTCCCCCTGCTGGACGGATGGAGAAACCACATTCTGCTGGTTACAACGTGGTCCTGAAAACGATCCAGTTGAATTTCACTTCAGAAACAGTTGAATGCAGGATCATGTCCCTGTGACTGAACATTTACTCCATCAGTTACAAAACCTTTACTTTGACTGGGCCACTGCAAAATATACTACTTAGCAAAAGTAGTATATTTTAGTCACTCAGTGAACTTAGTGACTGTGACGTTCAGAAGCTGCAGACTCTGACGTCATTATTCCTCCACCAACATGTTGATTATGTTTGACTCAATCCAGTCATTTATTTCAGAAACTTCCCATCATCACATTTCCACAAACTGTTTCATTTGAAAAAGTTACAAAGGGGAAAATTCCTCCTGATTTCTATTATTTTGCATCTTTGCTATTTGTTCATAATTTACAATCCATGTCAAATAAATTCAGGTTTTAGTTCTATTAAGTCATGCATAGAAAAAATTCATGGTGTTATTTTCAAAGCTCTACTTTAAAATAGAAACCAGGATTATTATTAAATTGTGACAACAATACTGATAAATATTTCCAGTTTTTATATTGAAGCTTATTTTCATCAGCAACAGCGCCCCCTGCTGCGGAGAAAATGCATTAAATCCTGCTTACAGCTACAAACACATTACAAAATAATTGCCACTGAAATTAAAATAATTAACAAATAACCAAATAATATTAAATATAAACTGTAAATGTAGATTTAGGCTCAATAAAAAGTAAAATCTGCTGATAACATTTAGGAACAATAAGGACAGATTTATTATTGCTGCAGTTTTAACATGTTTTTATCACTGAATTGTAAAAGACAGAATCAGTGTCTGGTTTGTCGATATTACTGGATCATGTTCTACAAACTCATTACATCATCAATGAAACGGTTAAACATTTTCCTGCAACACATTTCTCATGTTCTCTGTTTTAGTGGAAACGTGAGAGCAGAAAATCCAGCCGGTTTAAAAAGAAAACCTGACTTTCCAGGCTGGACCTGGTTTCTGCATCAGCTGATTTCTGTCCCTCCAAACTTCCTCCTGGTTTCCCAGGAAACCACCTGATGCTGCTGGTGAACAACAAGTCAGGAAAAAGGTCAGAGGAGTGAGACCTCTGACCTCAGGGTCACGGTGCATTTCAGCTTTAGAGAACAAAAACACAAAACAACAAACAAGCAACAAACATTACATTTTATCAAAAGCCATAATCAAAATCATCAAACATAAAATATATGAATCAAAGTTACAGTTGTTATTAATTAAAGCAGCTCCAAACAGGGAGCCTCGATTTAAAAGAACTCAGTATTTCGGCTACTTTGCAGTTTTCTGGAAGTTTGTTCCAGATTTGTGGTGGATAGAAGCTGAATGCTGCTTCTCCATGTTTGGTTCTGGTCCGGATGCAGAGCAGATCCAGAACCAGGAGACCGCTTGGTGTGGAAGGGTCAACATCAGGTCTTTAAAATGTTATGGTGCTGAACAGTTCAGCATGATTTATAAACTAACTAGAAGTCTTGCTCTATTTCCTGGTTTTAGTCAGAACTCCAGCAGCAGCGTTCTGGATCTGTGAAGACGCTGCTGCAGAAACTGATGAACTCATGAGTTCATTGATGAGTTTCTCTAGATCCCTGACACATTAATCCTGTCACCATGGATATGTTCTTCAGCTGACAGAAGGCTGACTTTGTAACTGTCTTTATGTGGCTCTGAAGGTTCAGGTCAGAGGTCATCTCTTCTCCCAGGTTTCAGCCTGACCCTATAAAGGCCTTTTGAGCCAGTGCCAAAGAAGATGTAAACCAAAAATAATAAGTTCCCCAAACAGAACCCTGAGGTTCACTAAACTCAAGACGATTAAAGGAGACACTTAATTTGAAGCAGTGAATAAGAAAACATTTAATGTTGTTTCAGACTTTTTACAAGTTTCAGTTACATGGAAACTCCACAACAGAATGATGCTAAAAGTAACAGGAACCTAAAAACATCAATGAAATGGTGGTTCTTTAAAATAATAACACATTTTACAGACCACATCCTCACCTGAGTTGTAATTAGTCTTTTTTGTAACATTAGCAGCTCAAAATGAGTTTATGTAGCTGGACTGAAGACAAAAGACAGATGTCAAGGTTGCAAACTCCTATGGGAGTCAAAGTCCAGGTCTCAGGGGTCGCCCTTGACTAAGAAACTTTATCTGAAAGGACATCTGGGTAGAGTAATTGTTAGCTAAACACCCAGCGGGCATTGGATGTCCTCACAGACACATCAACTGAGCGGCAGATATTAAAGGCCACCATGGAGAAACGACTCGGGCTGCGGGGCGATATACCTCTTACCCAAACACCACAGGTCACGGAAGATCCTCCTGAAGTGGTTCCTGAAGTTCACTCCGATGAAGGCGTACAGCACCGGGTTCAGGCAGCAGTGCAGGTAGGCGACGGTCTGCAGCACAGACATCGCCGTTAGCAGAGAGTCCATCTTCTCACAGTCACTATAGTCAAATAGATGGATGGTGTCGTGCATCAGAATGAGGTTGTAAGGCAGGTGGCAGACGATGAACACCAGCACCACCACCATCACCACTCGGACCGCTTTGTGTCGCTTGTAGCTTTGTGATTTCTGCAGGGTGACGATGACTGCAGTGTAGCAGAAGATCATGATGAGCAGCGGCAGGAAGAAGCCAATGGCCAGTTGGGTGCTGGGAACAGCTACCTTCACTATGCTAGCAGTGTTGCTATCATCAAATTTCCACTCACAGACGTACTGTGGATCTGTTGTCTCTTCCTGTTCGGTGATGTTGCTGATCCAGATGACGGCATTATGTGATGGTTGGTACCAATGGTAGAAGTGGAAAGTGGGAACAGACACCAGTAAGGCAAAGATCCAGATCAGGGCACAGATAATGCGACTGTTTGACAGCGAGCGTAACCTGAAGCTCCGGCGAGCCTGGACGATGGCGATGTAGCGGTCGGTGCTGATGCAGGCTAACATTAGCATGCCGCTGTACAGGTTGACGCTGTAGGAACCACGCAGCAGCTTACAGGCCACCTGCCCCATGGGCCAAGAGTACAGCTCGTTGTAGACGATGAAAGGTAGAGCCAGAACGAACAGCAGGTCAGCGATGGCCACATTGAGCAGGTAGACGTCAGTCATGGATTTGGTTCTCTTGTAGAGGGCATAGGTCAGGATGACCAGGCTGTTCCCCACCAGGCCCAGGATGCAGATGATGGAGTGAATGTAAGGACCAACCACAGCGTTCACACTGTTGTTGTCACTGAAAGAACACGGTTCAGAAAGTCCATCCTCATTGCTCTTGTTGTAGTCGCAGGCTGAATAAGCAGAGAAGTTCATCTTGTTGCACTGTAATAAAAGTCAACAAGAAAGTTAATCAAAATATGTTGAATTAAGTCAACAGAAAGCATCGATTCCAAACAAAACACTTTCTGTTAGTATTTTTCATGACTTTATGTTTCAGGTGTTACCATTCTGCAATAAGTTGGTGATTCACAGGCGTCTGCAGCACCTGATAGCAAGCAGAGGAGGTAATGCAATCATTGCTATCTGGTGTGTGCAACAGAGAAATATGTGAAATATGGAGGGAAGTAGTCCATGAGGACTGGGACTCAGACATTGGACATGTCCAGTAAATTTCCATCATCTCTGGTTTGGGTACATTAGGACCTCAGAACTTTAGATCTCAGGTATAGTTGTGGAAATAACTATTCACATGTTGGTGGCTTTCATGTGTTCATCAGTGTCAAAGTGCAGCCCTGGAGTCCAACACACAGCTTGAAGAGGATAGATTTTATGATGCTTTTGCTTTGGGGATACAAGGACTGGAGATTCCTTGGGAGTCAGCTGGATACACAGTCTGACATCTTCTCCATATCCACAAAACACATGTTGACCGGATCCTCCTTAGAAATGTCTCAGCCATTCTGCAAGAGTGAAGCTTTCCTCCACATCTCCAAGACCAAAAGAGCCACAACTCTGAGTCGCCAAACCGTTTCCCAGAACTTCCTGCTGCAAAGGGAGACACCTGGCAATTTGACAAAGTTTTAGTCCATGTGGTCAAAGGTGACATTACATGGAGAGGTGAGATTTACTCCAGCACACCTTGAACCAATCAATGACTGAAGGCCAAATTTGAAATGTAAGTTGTTGCCCTGTGAGTCAGAAAAATGGAGCAATTAACTGATCACAACCTGGTGACCCAGTGGATCTTATAAAACCCTGGACTGGTTTCCCAGGAGTCCATCAGGGTCGACCCATTTCTTCCATCCAATTAGTGGATGTCAAGGTGGCGACTTGGAGCAGAGACGTTACCAGATCTCTGGCATCCTTTAGCAGACAGTGAAATCTCACACAGTCATGCAAAAAGTTGTTGCAGAGATCACACTCTGATGTTTTGCTCTTTCAGTTCATCTGTGTTTGTGAAAAACACATAACACAAAAAACGACAACACACCATTCAGACAAAACAAAAAAACAATGCAGATAACAGAAGAGAAGTTGTTTGCAGAACTTTCCCACAGTGTCAGCTGTGGCATGAAGCCAGACCTTTATCTTTACTGCAGCTATAAAACTCTTATCAACCATAAAAATATGAAAGGTTATATGAGAGGTTATTGCAGTACCTACTATTAAATAAACACTAACCCACAACACGTCAGTTCATTGTTCAAAATAAATGTCAGGCGTTGCTAAAAGGTCACTCTGTTCTGGTTCCAGTTTAACAACCTAAATGTCATTATGGTGTGAATTGGCTCTGCATTGAACTGAAAGAAATGAAACCTGCACTACATACATATTATATGTAAAAATACAGATGTATTTTTCTTTAGTCCTTAGCAGTAATAAGAGCACACCCTGTCAAGTTATCAAGAACTTCTTCATTCATCCAAACAATCCAGCATTAACTGATCTTCCATTCCTGTTATTAAAGCAGATTCTCACCTCAGTGTTCAGTCGGTTTCCTGTGGTCAAAACGCGCTCAGATCCCAGAACCTGATTTTTCCAGCTCGGAGCTGCTTTCCGTGTCAAAATGATCCAACTGCTGCTGAACATAAACATCCTCAAAAACTCCCTCAGTCCTGTGAGGCTGTTCCTCCACTCGGCCACCTGGTGGCGGTAATGTGCCAAACATTTCCTCCATCCACAGAAAAACACGAACCGTTTGCCCTCCAGAACCGGGGTCCAAACCAGGGATCCAGAACCGGGGGTCCAAACTGGGGGTCCAAACCGGGGGTCAAGAACCGGGTTCATCCTGGATTGTTCTGCTCGCCTCCCCCCTCTTTGATTCTTCTGAACAAAAAGTCTTTACATTTTCATAGAGTGAGATTTTTGAAGAGGAAAAAATGTTGAAATATATATATATATATATATATATATATATATATATATATATATATATATATATATATATATATATATATATATATATATATATATATATATATATATATATATAGGGATCGTTCTCAATGCTGCATTCACAGCATTGAGAACGATCCCTAATTCGATTCGATTACAAGAAAGCCTATGACTCAATGCCACATACTTGGATCATTGAATGCCTACAGATGTATAACATCAACAGGACTCTGAGAGCCTTCATTGCAAACTCGATGAAGCTGTGGAAAACCACCCTTGAAGCCAACTGCAAACCACTTGCACAAGTGTCCATCAGATGTGGCATATACCAAGGAGATGCTCTGTCCCCGCTACTGTTCTGCATAGGCCTGAACCCCCTCAGCCAAGTTATCAACAAGACTGGCTACGGATACCGACTCAAAAATGGGGCCAACATCAGTCACCTCCTCTACATGGATGACATCAAGCTGTATGCCAAGAGTGAGCGAGACATCGACTCACTGATCCACACCACCAGGATCTACAGCACTGACATTGGGATGTCATTCGGACTAGAGAAGTGTGGTCGGCTGATCACAAAGAGGGGGAAGGTGATCCGCACAGAAGGAGTCTCACTCCCACAAGGAACAATAGCAGACATAGAGGACAGTTACAAGTACCTAGGTATACCACAAGCAAATGGCAACCTCGATGAGACCACAAGGAGAGGAGCCACAGCTAAATACCTCCAACGAATAAGGCAAGTCCTGAGAAGCCAGCTCAATGGCAAGAACAAAATCAGTGCGATAAACAGCTATGCCCTGCCAGTAATCAGATACCCTGCTGGAATAATCAGCTGGCCAAAGGAGGAGATAAAAGCCACAGATATTAAGACTAGAAAGCTACTAACCATGCATGGAGGGTTCCATCCCAAATCCAGCACCCTGAGACTGTACACGAGCCGCAAGGACGGAGGCAGAGGACTAGTGAGTGTGAGAACCACTGTCCAGGACGAAACAACTAAGATCCATAAATACATCAGGGACAAAGCCTCAACAGACAATGTGCTCAGTGAATGTCTCAGACAACAGGGAACGGAGGTTGAGGTGCCAGAGATACCATCATGGGAGGACAAGCCCCTACATGGGATGTACCACCAGCAAATAACCCAAGTGGCTGATATCAGTAAATCCTACCAATGGCTGGAAAAAGCTGGACTCAAGGACAGCACAGAGGCCCTCATCCTGGCCGCCCAGGAACAGGCCCTAAACACCAGAGCAATAGAGGCCCAGATCTACCACACCAGACAAGACCCAAGGTGTAGGTTGTGCAAGGAGGCCCCTGAGACAGTCCAGCACATCACAGCAGGGTGCAAGATACTGGCAGGGAAAGCGTACATGGAACGACATAACCAAGTGGCAGGCATAGTGTACAGAAACATCTGTGCATAATATGGACTGGAAACCCCAAGATCAAAGTGGGAAACACCCCAAAGGTGGTGGAGAACGCCAGAGCTAAGATCCTGTGGGACTTCCAGATCCAGACAGACAAATGGTAATGGCGAACCAACCAGACATTGTCGTAGTGGATAAACATCAGAGGAAAGCCGTTGTGGTAGATGTAGCAATACCAAGTGATTGCAACATCAGGAAAAAGGAGAAACTGGAGAAATACCAGGGCCTCAGGGAGGAACTGGAGAGGGCCTGGAAGGTGAAGACCACAGTGGTGCCTGTGGTCATCGGGGCCCTCGGGGCAGTAACCCCCAAACTGGAGCAGTGGCTACAACAGATCCCAGGAACAACATCAGACATCTCAGTCCAGAAATGTGCAGTCCTTGGCACCCAAGATACTGCGCAGAACCCTCAAGCTCCCAGGCCTCTGGTAGAGGACCCAGCTCAGAGGATATATAGATCTATATATATAGATCTATATCCTCTGGTAGGGGACCCGAGCTCAGAGGATAAGAACCACCCGGGTGGGTGAGAAGGGAATTTTTATATATATATATATATATATATATATATATATATATATATATATATATATATATATATATATATATATATATATATATATATATATATATATATATAGGTTATGCTTATATATCTTTTGGCACACAAAGCATTTGTCAGATATTAACTGCAGTTATGCTTAACTAAACTCTGCAGGTTCTGATCCATGACCTGCTTCTGTTGATTAGTGAGAAAAAATGAGGAGAGAATCCAAAGCAAAGTGCAGAAATTAATTGTATGTCTGCAACTTTTATGATGTTTTGGACAAACAATCAATTTATTTGGTTACTAATTGAAGATACTGCATTTGGTTATTGTTAATAATAATAATAATAATAATAATAATAATAATAATAATAATAATAATAATAATAATAATAATAATAATAATACATTGATTTTAGCTCAGTATCAATGCTAACATTACAACAGCATATAAATGTGGCCTGAAGTGTGACATCATTTCTCATTCGTCCTGAACTCCTGAAACATTTAGCAGCAAAACAAAAGCCTGAACGTTGGAAAATACTCAGAGTTTAATCCTCAAACTGAATCCAAGGCTGATTGAGTTTTAACAGAAAACATCTGGAGGGAAACTGAAGCAAAAAAAACAAACAGAAATAACAAACATCCTCATGTTATACAAATTTAACACATGAAATCATCAAAAGTCATAAAAACATGAAGTTTTATTTACAAAGATGCACATTAAGTAAAAATGTTCCAGTTTGAAGAAATTAGCCAGTTTTTGGAGTCTAAATCTACAACCTGAATATCAACAATATTTTATAGCTGCAAACTGGCAGCTTTTCCCTGATTTACACATTGAAGCTGAGATTTGATTAAAATACATTTCATTCAGTTTTAAATGGGGTCAGCCTCCATCAAGGTGAAACTTGAAATAAAATAAAGCTTTGTTGTCCTGGACATCTTCTGCTATTTGTTGAGCAGAGGAAGGCCGGAGAACGTCTCCATTAAAGGGCA